ACAGAGTTTGGGTTCAGACGATTGTAGGGTAAGGGACGCCTTATCGTGGTTTGAGCTCCTCCACAATAAATCTTTCATGTGCAGAAGACCACAAAGTTGGGAAATATTTAACTTGAGTTAAATATTACATAATGTATTATTTATTATATTATTTCATTTTTATTAAATTATCTGAGAGAATGGTATTTTCCGTTATTACGGCTGGAAATGGTTATAGTTAGAAAACCTCGATGTCACTGAGAATTTTCTCACGTGTGTTTTTTTTGTGCTAACCTTTCTAGAAAATCATAATGCCTACTCCAAGCTTAGCAGGTGAAGGATGGAGTATCAATATTTACTCTTACGAGGGCCGCATAGAATTCTATATTGTAGTAGGAAATCAAAGAGTCGCTTCCATATTCTATGCTGAGAGTGTGGAGACTTACACCTAAAGCCAAATTAGGATAAGACTTTTGTATTGTATAATTATGTGATGAAGGTATGTAAATTATAAACTGAAGTGATGTAATATTTAGTCTGAAGTGATGTAATATTTAGTAGACTGTAGGACCTATGTAAAATAACTCCTTTTTGTATCTGACGTAACAATATATATAAAGTAATGTTGGGAGATGTTTATATAATTTTCTTTACTGTTATTATCATCGATGTGTATTAATTAATAACATTAATTCTTTTCTATCTTATTTCTCATTGACTATGCGTAAACGTAAATATAAATGTAAATAAAAGAAATCATGTAATATTCCTTATAAATGTTTGTAGCAAGGGATGTTACACCATGTGTTCCCTGTAAATTTTCAAAGAAGACAATTTCTCCTTATCGTTTCATTTACAATGATTATCAATAAAAGTCAAGGACAATCACTTTCTCGTGTTGGTGTTTATCTCTCTAAGCCTGTCTTCACTCATGGGCAATTATATGTTGCATTATCAAGGGTAAAGAGCAAACCGAGATTGAAAATTTTAATACTTGCTGACGATGTGAATGTTACAAATAGCACATTTAACATTTTCTACAAGGAAGTATTTTAGAGATTAATTTAGTTGTTTTGGTTCTGCAAAATTGGAGTAGAGCAGATACTTGGTATGTGCTTAAATTGTCTCTCCAATGATTACTACTGTTTGACTCTCAATTAAAAAAAATATTGATATACTTTTTTTATTATTATACAAGGGTGTTGATATGTTTTTTGATTTACGTATTTATTTAGTCTGATCATTTTCTTCATGTTAGGTAGAAAATTTAATTTTTGTCTTCACGTGTCTTAATTTATTTTATTTTGTAGTATTGTTGAATCAATGAAAAGTATTGAAGACTAATATAGAGGAGAAGATTTATTTTCTACATTTTTCATAGCTATTTTTTTTCCAACATATTTGTGTTTTTTTTTCATGTTTTTTTTTCTTTTGCCTTTGTAGGGTGCTGTTCATTGTGCTATATAGCATTGGTTGCAAGAACTTTGGCTCATTTTTTGATCATTTCTATTTGGTAAGACAATATTCATCTCATCACTGTTGTTGTTGTATGCATTGCTGTATATGAACATATCTTATTGTTGATTGAGCGCATCCACAACTGGTAATAATTGTTTTGGATAGAATTGAGCACAAGAACTTTTCCTCATTTTTTGATAATTTCTCTTTGGTAGGACAATCTGTATCTCATCACTTTTGCTGCTGCATACATTGATGTATATGAAAATAATCAATTATAGAGTACATAACTATTTTTTATTTGCATAATAATTGATGTTCTTAATTGCAGAGTTTTACTTGTGGTAGATATTTACAAAGTTCAATGGGAGTGTTGTAACTTTTTCACCTCCCAAAATAGCACAAAATACTTACACGATTCTTGCTATTAGTGATTAACGAGCGGCAGACGCTGACAAAAATTTTGATATTTTTTCTCCGTGCATCGCACGGGTACTGCACTAGCAACATAATATTTTGACATCAATAAATGACCTTTTATAAAAATTTAAATGAAAATATTGCTCTATTCCAAATTCATCAAAATCAATGTGACAATAACTACTTAAGAAATCAAATATGAACATACATAATCTTAGAAATTAATGCAAAATCATTTACACTTAATACAATTAAAAAGCAGATTTTTTTTGTTTTACATTAAAGACATAAATTAAAACTACAGTAGTCCTCTAATAATTTTGAGAAAACAGTCTCACATTAACATTGTGCACTTTTAGATATTAACATCACAACCAAGTGGCTATGGATTTGAATAATTTGTATTAAGTGATGTGTTAATTCTATCCGTATCACCTGTATCTTAAAATAAAATAAAAATAAATATCACACGTATCTTTAATCATCAAATAAATTAAAATTTTGCAAATAAATGTCTTAAAAAGTATCAATTAAAAACATTTAATATCTTTAATTACTCAAAAGCAAACATTAAATATCTTTATATTTCCAATGTAATAAATGTTTTATTTTTTATTTAATAACTTTCACTTTTGTTTCTTTAAAGAATACCATAAAGTAGCCTATATCAAAACGGAAAAAAATCAAGCGTTTTATTAATCTTATGTTAAAGGAGATAAGTTATCTTATGTGATATAAATAAATTTGTAGGTTCTACCACCTAAAAAAAATATGATACAATTATCGAAGGTTACGTAGAAATCATGTAATATTCCTTATAAATGTTTGTAGCAAGGGATGTTACACCATGTGTTCCCTGTAAATTTTCAAAGAAGACAATTTCTCCTTATCGTTTCATATGCAATGACTATCAATAAAAGTCAAGGACAATCACTTTCTCGTGTTGGTGTTTATCTCCCTAAGCCTGTCTTCATTCATGAGCAATTATATGTTGCTTTATCAAGGGTAAAGAGCAAACCGGGATTGAAAATTTTAATACTTGCTGACGATGTGAATGTTACAAATAGCACATTTAACATTGTCTACAAGGAAGTATTTTAGAGATTAATTTAGTTGTTTTGGTTCTGCAGAATTGGAGTAAAGCAGATACTTGGTATATGCTTAATTTGTCTCTCCAATGATTACTATTGTTTGACTCTCAATTAAAAAAAAATATTGATATACTTTTTTTATTATTATACAAGGGTGTTGATATATTTTTTGATTTACATATTTATTTAGACTGATTATTTTCTTCATGTTAGGTAGAAAATTTAATTTTTGTCTTTGTGTGTCTTAATTTATTTTATTTTGTAGTATTGTTGAATCAATGAAAAGTATTGAAGACTAATATAGAGGAGAACATTTATTTTCTACATTTTTCATAGCTATTTTTTTTCCAGCGTATTTGTGTTTTTCTCATGTCTTTTTTTTCTTTTGCCTTTGTAGGGTGCTGTTCATTGTGCTATATAGCATTGGTTGCAAGAACTTTTGTTCATTTTTTGATCATTTCTATTTGGTAAGACAATATTCATCTCATCACTGTTGTTGTTGTATGCATTGCTGTATATGAACATATCTTATTGTTGATTGAGCGCATCCACAACTGGTAATAATTGTTTTGGATAGAATTGAGCACAAGAACTTTTCCTCATTTTTTGATAATTTCTCTTTGGTAGGACAATCTGTATCTCATCACTTTTGCTGCTGCATCCATTGATGTATATGAAAATAATCAATTATAGAGTACATAACTATTTTTTATTTGCATAATAATTGATGTTCTTAATTGCAGAGTTTTACTTGTGGTAGATATTTACAAAGTTCAATGGGAGTGTTGTAACTTTTTCACCTCCAAAAATAGCACAAAATACTTACACGATTCTTGCTATTAGTGATTAACGAGCGGCAGACGCTGACAGAAATTTTGATATTTTTTCTCCATGCATCGCACGGGTACTGCACTAGCAACATAATATTTTGACATCAATAAATGACCTTTTATAAAAATTTAAATGAAAATATTGCTCTATTCCAAATTCATCAAAATCAACGTGACAATAACTACTTAAGAAATCAAATATGAACATACATAATCTTGGAAATTAATGCAAAATCATTTACACTTAATACAATTAAAAAACAGATTTTTTTTTGTTTGACATTAAAGACATAAATTAAAACTACAGTACTCCTCTAATAATTTTGAGAAAACAGTCTCACATTAACATTGTGCACTTTTAGATATTAACATCACAACCAAATTTAGTGGCTATGGATTTGAATAATTTGTATTAAGTTATGTGTTCAATTCTATCCGTATCACTTGTATCCTAAAATAAAATAAAAATAAATAACACACGTATCTTTAATAATCAAATAAATTCAAATTTTGCAAATAAATGTCTTAAAAAGTATCAATTAAAAACATTTAATATCATTTATTTAATATCTTTAATTACTCAAAAGCAAACATTAAATATCTTTATATTTCCAATGTAATAATGTTTTATTTTTTATTTAATAACTTTCACTTTTGTTTCTTTAAAGAATACCATAAAGTAACCTATATCAAAACGGAAAAAAATCAAGCGTTTTATTAATCTTATGTTAAAGGAGATAAGTTATCTTATGTGATATAAATAAATTTGTAGGTTTTACCACCTAAAAAAATGTGATACAATTATCGAAGGTTACGTAGAAAAAAAAACTTATTTAATGTAATATGAAAATATTTTTTTCCAAAAATCAAACCCACAAATCCATATATGGTGTACATATATTTTTGTTTATTTTATTTTATGCAATAATAATATTATTTTATTTTATTTTTTAAAATTGGAGTGTGAACATGGGCATGGGTTACAGGTAAGTAGGTAGAGAAACATGTAGCCAAGGCTGGCGTTACGTACTAACGTTGATGTGAGTACTTGAGAAGTCAACATCAAAAACATTTACTACCAATTTGGACAGAAGATATATTTTCATTTTTCATAACCCTAACCTCCTAAGCCCCTTTTCGTAATTTCAAAGGGACCCTTGGAATCCGCATCTCCATTTAACCATTCTCTCTCTCTGCCTCACTTCCATGTTTCTGTATTTAAAGGGAAAATAAAAGAGAGAGGAAAAGAACCAAACCATGGACACCTCAAAACTTTTGCTCCCCTTCATCATCAACTCTGCTACTTAACAACATCTTCAAACCATTGCCGCACACTTCTGCTTGTGTTGTCTGAAGGTCTGTCTCTTCTCTCTTTTTGTCTGTACTCTACACTGAACCATCACAACGCACATTCACCACGTGTTTGTATATCTGGATTCGTTTGCGTGTGTAGAAAAGATGGAAAATTGGGGTCGCGAAAGATTAGATCTTCGTCTGAAATGACCTACCCAGAATTTATTGAGTTTTAGAATGTTGTTTTCTGTGCTTTTTGATACCTGGGTTGGGTTTCTGAAATTTGGTTAATCAAGATGGTGGTGATTGGGACTGTGTCTGGACTTGTTTAATTGTTTTAGATTTGTCATATTGGAGATCTATGTGCAGGGAAAGGTCATGGAAATGATTAGGTCCCTGATTATTGACCTAAGTGACTCAGTGAAGCATGAGTAATTGGACTTGGGAGTTTAATCGAAAGGGGTACCAATTTCTTTTTCTTTTTCTTTTTGTGGTTGTTGCCGGGGGGGGGGGGGGGGGGGGGGTTGTTCAACGATTTTGTTCAGTCGATTAATTCTTCATTTCCCACGCATTTGACATCCAATTTTCATTTCCAATTATCAAGTCTTGATTTTGCATGAGTGTGGTGTGGACTCCTAATCAAATTTACTCTCTTTTTTGGCATGAAATCCATCGCCCATTTAGCGAGTAACTCTCTTTGTTTCCTATGTCTTCTCTTTGCTGTTTAATGCTTTTGTTGCTGGCCCCTGTGATTCGGACTTGTGGATGAATGATGACAATGATTATGATGAGATTTTCTAATAAAAAATCTATCTGAACTGAAGGATTAATGGTTATTTTATGACAAACATGGAAATCATGACTTGCTTTCTGGCGAGAGTGATTGAGTTCAATAACCACCGGCCATTGTTATATCTGCGGTGGTTTTTGATATATATGAGTGTAAAATTGTTTATTTCACTTTCTATTTCTTCTCTCTCTCTCTCTCTCTCTTTTTTTAAATACCCATGAAAAAAAAATACTCCTCGTTAAACCCGACTAGCAAGTGTGGGGTGGAGGTAATCCGTATACGCAGCCTTACCCTTGCATAATTGCAAAAGAGACTGTTTCCTGGATTCGAACCCATGACCTTTCAGTCATGAAGGAACAACTTTACCACTGCTCCAGTTCGCCCCCTTTATAAAAACCACTCCCCGTGAAACTCGACTAGTGAGTGTGGGGTGGAAGTAATCCTTGTACGCAACCTTATCCTTGCATAATTGCAAAGAGGCTGTTTCTTGGTTCCCCGGTTGGAATCGTTGCAATACTAATCTAAACATTAATCTGCTGATAGTTAGTACAGTCAATTTATTAAATGGCAGTGACTATCACAATATATTGCTATTATCCATACTCATATTGCCATATGCGCGGAACCTTTTGCATTTATGTGGAAATAGCTTTTACTTCTGTTAGTTACTTTAAGATCGTTTTTCTGTTTCTCCTTTTACCTACGTGTGTATTCATGTAAGTTCTCATAATATTGAATAACAACTTTCTCTTCCAGTAAGATGGTATCAGAGCTCATCTTGAGCTCTAGTATACATTGCTGATAATTCATCTAATTGCGAGATCCATTTGCTTCCTTCTTGCATTTTTCTTCTCAGGACTTCCCTCTCTGATATATCTTTGAGAATGGCTTCAACAAACCATAGGTCACCTCTTTACCCGAATTATTGTCAAATCTGTCTAGTCAATACTACCTATACCACATTGAAAACCCTGCATTGGTTCTCGTGATACCCATGTTTGATGGAAATAATTACCATTCCTAGACTAGAGCCATGAAGATGGCATTGCGATCGAAAACAAACTCAGTTTCATTGATGGCTCCATCATCCTCCACAAGAAGCTGATCCATGGTTCCCTGGTTGGGATCGTTGCAATACTATGGTGCTTTTTTGGCTCCATCATTCCATAGCAAATTCAATTGTTCAATCCATTGTGTGGATGGATCAAGCCTTGGAAGTATGGAAATTCCTTCTTGAACGATTCTCTAAATTTGATGTCTTTCGCATTGCAAACCTACAAGAAGATTTGTTTCGTATGTGTGAAAGTATTGTTTCTCAATATTTTACAAAGTTAAAGACCTTGTGGGATGAATTAGAGAATTTGCAGCCATTGCGCAAGTGCAAGTGCAACCCAACATGTGCCTGTGGATTTGTGATGCAAACACCTGCATGTACTAGTCATGGGAAAAATCATGTAATTCGTTTTCTGAGAGGTTTAAATAAGTAGTTCTCTCATGTGAGGTCTCAAATAATGCTCATGGATCCGTTACCAAATATCAATCAAACCTTTTCTATTGTTACTCAACAAGAAAGGCAATTCACTTTAGAAGTGAATTATGGCTTTAAAATCTTCTTGAATACTCATGAACAATCTTCTTTTCATGGCGATGTTGCACCAAGGGGAAGAGGTCGTACAAGCTTTGGACAAGGAAGGACGAATGCAGGAAAACTGTGTACTCGTTGCGAAAAATCTAATCATTAAGTCGAAACGTGTTTCGAAAAGCATGGGTACCCTCCTGGGTATAAAACCAAGATGCCCAGAAAAGCAAATATGGCCTCCCATGACATTCTTGATCCATTTACTCTTGATCCAGAAAAGGAAGGTGTTGAAGATGAAAACGATAGTGAAGTGTTTCACTTTAAAAAGAGCAATATCATCGTTTACTTGGGCTATTACATGATCCCGGATATGAGACCACACATCCGTCAAATCTGCTTCAGGTTAATACGGTTTCTCTGAGTCCAGGTAATTCACCTTCTCAATGGATTCTTGACAGCGGTGCAAATGATCACATAAGTCATCAGAATTTCTTGTTTACCTTTCTTCGAAAGATCAGTCCCATTTCAATAAAACTACCAGATGGTAGTCAAGTTTTTGCCACTCACACAGGAAACATTCAGCTATCCTCCTCTCTTACATTATATAATGTCCTCTTTGTTTCTAACTTCCACGTCAACCTTATATCAGTTGCGAAACTGATTCATGATTCAGATTGCCATGTTGTCTTTCACTCACTTGAATGTTCTATTTTTTTTGTTTCTAACTTCCACGTCAACCTGATATCAGTTGCGAAACTGATTCGTGATTCAGATTGCCATGTTGTCTATCACTCACTTGAATGTTCTATTTTGCAGAGCAATACCTTGACGATGATTGGATCAGCTAAACAAGATCATGGTCTCTTCATCCTTACTCCTAGTGAAGCTTTTGTTAATTCTCGATGTTACAACATTGTTTTTGAACCCTTCCAAGCTGGCCATTGTTCAAAATCTGTATTACATAGTATGTCTAAAATCTTTCCATTATTCCTTGTATAGATAATTCAGATCCATGTTATAAATGTCATGTTTAAGGAAATATTATTACACCCATTAAAAGGGCAAATTCCGGGGCACAAGGTTTCCAGACTCTGCGAGAGTAGGGGTAAGGATCGATTACGCATGCCTTATCCTTGCCATTTTTGCGAAGAGGTTGTTTCCTAAATTTGAACCTTTGACCTTCCGGTCACAAAGTAGTAACCTTACAACTCCTGATAGGCTTGCCGACAAATAATATTACTCCCATTAATTTGTTGAATGGCAAAGAATTGTCTTATTCTAAACTAGTGATATGAAATATGATTCTTAAGAATTGGATTATAACAAGACATTTGTGAGCTGAAATCTTCAATTTTGCGAATGAAGAGCCAAAGCCTTATGCTCAATGTGATTCTTAACTCTTATGGATTGAAATTTACACCTTTCTTAATTGTTAATGGGATAATTTGGAAAGGAAATACAAACCAATAAATGAGTTCAAACACCATATCTTAACCCAAAATTTTAATGCTTTAGATTTATGGATCTTTTCACTTATATGGACTTAATTACTTATCAACCACACTTGAATGTCTAACAACCGAACAAAGAATCGATATTTATTTTAGTTGTCTCTTTGATTGATCAATGGGTGATATTTTGAATCCTCATTCCTAATGGAATCAAAATGATCCCTGGTTTGATCACAAAATCTTTTCAAATGGCTAGAATCCATTACTTGAATGAAACTAGATTTTGTGGAATCATATTGAATATTTGATGATACATTCTGTACCTTGCAAAATTTGATCCAATTTATCGTAATCGATTAGTTAACATGTTGGTTAACTGTATTCTGAAACACGGAAAAAAATCATTGGCTTATCAAATTATCTATCAGAGATATGAAAAAGTTTCAACAAAAGACAGAAACAAATCCACTATTTGTTTTACGTCAAGCAATAAGTGGAGTAACTCTCGATATAATAGTAAAAGCAAGACATGTAGGGTGCTATCATATAGCTTTGTATCGGCTAAGTTCACTAGTTGGAGATAAGCGGACTTGAACTGTTGACATCCGCTACAGGACCACCTCCTTTCAAGCCCCGACTAAGTCTACCATAGAGGCTGACGATAGACAATAACTCCTCGTCTCCTCCCCACCCCCCTCCCTTGAACACAACTTTCATCGTACTGTTCTCTTCAAAGACCAATTATTCTCAAAATCTCCCATACCATAGTAGAGCCGTATGCAATATGAAAAAGATGCTTGTATGGTTGTTCAATTGTATCTTTGTGTTCTTTTATTATTCTTATTGTTTACTCTACTTATTGTGTGAGAGAGAGGAAACCTTTATTATGTTATATCATCAGGGTAATGATACATCAACCCGCTATGGTAGGGCTTGAAAAAAAAAACTATTCTTTATATTCCATATTTCAGATGATCCCTTTTTAGTCCTTTTCCTCTTTAATTCCCCCTATCTTTCTTTTTCCCTTCTTGTCTTTTATCTTATTTCCCCCTTCCCCAATTTTTATTTTTGTTTATTTATTTTTATTTATTTATTTATTTTATTCTATTGTTATTTATTATTATTATTATTATTTTTTATTTTTTTAATGTTATTTTTTATTTTTGTTAATCTCCTCGTATCTACCATTGGGTTCATCTACCACCGACACAAATTAATTTGGATTAAAGGTATTGTTGATGTTGATGTTATATCTTACTTTCTTTAAAATATATATATATATATACACACACACACACACACACACACAAGTTATTTTTTTCAGCTAGAACCTGGCTAGGTAGTGGCCGGTCTACAGTTTGACACCCAACAAGATGAAAACCCAAAAATATATTAAGTTTCATAAACTGAAGATAAAAGACTTAAGACCAAAGACTCAAACTTAAAAAGACCAAAAAATAAAATAAAATAAAAAATTGATGGAAGATGTGGCAATTTGTTGTTGTTTATAATTGCTGTAACCCTTAGTTTATCTTGGAAGGTTATTCTTCTTTTTATGTATTGCTTTTAGTTTTTCAATTTAATGGCTTAAACTTATTATTGGTTTTAAATTTGGTTTCTGTAGGTGTTTCTTTGCACTGAAATTCAGTAAGAATTTTGGAAAACCGGCATAATGGAAGATGGCAACGCGAACATAAGGAGATGGGAGGATCTGGACATAGATATTTTGGTGAAGATTTTTCAATTGTTTGATATCTTTCAGTTAACCTCCGGCATTGCTCATGTCTGTAGTTCATGGCGCATGGCTTGCTGTGATCCACTTCTTTGGAGGACACTCGATTTGTCAATGTTAAGATCTAATTTCATCAAGATTCCATTAGAGCCATTTGTTTATGTTGATGGACGATCTGATAGGACTTTAACCCGCTTATTGAAGATTTCATTGAGTCTCAGCAGGCAGAGTATAGTGACATTGATCTTCCATTTCAACTTGTACGTAAGTGATGAACAGTTGACATACACTGCTGAAAGGTAATTTCAACTTTTAAAAGCAATATATCTATGTCTAAACCATATGAAGTCATTATACTCTAGGGTTTATATGAGGAATGAATACTTGTAACCTTCTTAAGGTTTATGATATGTTGATCATCTTTCCCTTTGATACTAACATATACGAACACGTTGCTTGATATTGGAGCAATAACTTTATTCGGACTAGCTTTTGTGAGGTTTCTTTGTTTATTCTTTCCCTAGAGTGCTGGAAAATATCTGAAAATTATAAAGTGCTAACTAAATTTGCAGCATTGTTTAGTTGTATTTCCATTTTGAGAAGAGAAGGGGGTCAAACATTGTCAGTTATTAACTTTCCGTTGAAAATGGAGATTGCATATGTGGTGGTTTGCCTGAATAGCTAATCATGTCCCTTGTTGCAGGTGCCCACATGTCAGACGACTCGTTCTGCCAGCTTGGAATAGAATTAAGAAGACAGGAATGTGCAAGGCCATCCGCGGCTGGAAAGAGTTAGAGTCCCTTACAATGCCTAGTATAGCAAACCCGCCATATCTTTTGGAGGAAATCTCAACTAACTGCAACAACTTCCGTGAACTCAAGATTATGGGGCCATGTGACGTGTACTTTGCTTCGTCTCTTGCTGCGTTTCTTCCAAATCTGAGAGTTTTGAGCCTTCGATGCTCAGTACTATATAGGGATACCCTCATTGTCATCCTAGACAGCTTACAAAATTTAGAAGTGCTCAACATATCACATTGCATTCTGATGGAAGCCGTTCCACCTCCTCAACATAAAAGAATGATGACAGAAATTGATCAGACTATTCGTGAGAAGGCTTCTCGGTTACGCCAATTTCTCACATGCATGGATGACTCGTGCATCATGTGCCAGCGAACAAGAACTGATGAAGGGCTAGTTAGGTGGTACAAGTACGAGGAAGGGCTTTGGAAAACAGATGAGGTGAGGTCTCTCGCACTTTAAATTAGACAAAAGTTGACCTGGTAGTGTGATCTAGTTGTTGCCGCTTCTTTATGCAACGTTTTCTGCTGTTATGCTATTCTGCTACCTTAATTGTAGATCCAAATAAACAAAGTTGAATTATTACAAATGAATGTTGTCGTGTCCTTTAGAAGGAGATAGTCAAATCTTGTAACTGTACATAGGAATAATTTATGTTTTCTGCTCCAAATGTAGTTGGTTTCATTTTGAAGACACAGTGTTTTCGGTTATGGAAATATGATAAGACAACAGTTTTGTTCTCTATAGAGTATAAGGAGATCAGTTTTTGGGCAATTTTTAGTCTTGAAATTACAAGTAGCCGATGCTATCAACTACCAAGCGTTTACCCCTTTTATAGTAAAAAACAAGAGAATTATTTTTCTTATGTTGTATGAAAATATTATATTGTAGAAATAAAATTACAAGTAGGATTCACAAATAAGAGGAGAGAGAGAAAAAAGTGATGAGATTCAATCTTTTTTTGTTTATGTAGAAAAGTTTTTTATCTAAGGTAAAATGAGATAAATATAACTCTAAAAACAATGAGTGAGTATATATACGAGTTCAAAATGAAATCAATAGTGTGCGGGGGTTGGATTTTCGTACGTGAAACTTTTCTCAGTGGTTCTAGCGATATTTATTACCAATTTCTCTCTGGACGGGGTCAAGACTCAAGATAAAACTGTTATATGATTTGAGGTTTTGGGATCATAACTCTAGGAATTTTTTAGTTTTTTTATATATTTTCCCTGATGCTCATATTATAGTTAGTTAGGTCAATATTAAGTATGACCTTATTTAGTCCATATTCCATTAAGAGTCTGTTTGGTATTTTTTGTATTTTTTTAAGTTAAAAATTACTTTTAATTTGAAGTTTGAAAAAGAGAGTTTAAAATATAAAGTTAAAAATTTTGTGGTGATTATATAAAAAGACTGAAATTCTCTCATATAATCTCACGAATGATTTATTTTGATGAAATGCACACCCACCTGCCACCTCAACATGATTCTCACATTATTAATTTCAGTAAGTAACTGGTTTAAATAACTGGAGGAGGTGGTCCTTATCTGTTTTCATAATCGTTTTTGCTTCGTAAGAGTTTGAGCTCACACTTTGTGTCATTATAAAATTTATTTTCACAATCAAACATTCTATTTTAATGGGAGAAATTTGACATTTCCCATGATTGTAAAAGATTGTGGGAATGCAATTTTCTATCTCATTTTTTAATTTTACGAAGATAACCTTTCAAATGTTTTCAGACCAATTGGGATTCCTTAGAAAAGATAACCGGACTACAAAACTGTTAAGATGTCCAATATTGTGTAATTTACTCTTTGCACACTCCTTTGGAAATGAAATGAGAAATAAAATAGTCAAATGGCGTATGTATAGACAATAATAATCTACCGAAATGTTTCCGAACTTTTTACTAAATTATTATCTAAATATTGTATTTTTTGAAAAAAAAAAGTTTTAGATTTTTTTAAAAAAAGAAGTTATATGAGAATATATTTTTTATCATTTATCACCCGTGTAATTTTTTTCTTATCACTTATCCTATGTGGTTTTTTTATTCAAATCCATTTTTAACATTTTTAAAATTTCAATTAATTTTTCCATTTCGCCCCTGAAAGTGTCAGTTACAGCCATGCCTTCAACTCAGATTACATTTAGAAACAGTGACCCATTTATGATTGTTTAACTCCTTATGTTACTTGCTCTATCCATTTATAAAGCTGAAGCCAAATTGTGGTAGAACAACCATTGTGATTTTGGCTTAGGCAAAATTTTGATTAAGCACTGTCACTTCTGTTAAAAGTAGGCCTTAAAAGTATATGTTGCTTTTAGTTAAAACCTTATTAAAAAAAAAAACAAAAAAAACAAAAAAACTTCATTAAAACAAGTGCATTGAGCTGAAAGAACATTTTTTAGGGTAAGTTAGAACTGCCCAATAGATAGAATAAATAGAGAGAAAAAATGTACTATTATTCATGGTTGAAGTTGTGTAGCATATAGCCATTACGAAGGATGGGAAAAGTGCCCAACACAATTGTGCTAGCTGTGATATGCTATTTTCGCCTTTTAATCCTATCTATAGTTTAGCTGCATCCTCATATATATGTTACTGTGATCTGCTCTTCTCTTCACAACAAAAACGGTTAATTAGTTAGCGAAACAAAGGATAAATAAAAGCACATAGAGAGAGCTGTTACATGACTTGGAGCCTGGAGGGATGCGCTTGTCACCGAAGAACAGTTCCAGAATTGTAAAGGACACTTTGAAATGGGGTAAAATAGATAAATTAATTTAAATTTTTATGGTGTTATAGATGAACTTGAATGGAAAAAAAAAATCATAGAATAAGTGATAAGAAAAAAGACTATAGGAAGGTAAATTATAAAAGAGTAAACAGAGGGGATATTTTGAACTTTTCTCTAAAATAAAATTAGGAAACAAAATTATTCCTAATATATTGTTAAGAGATGTTGTAAATTTCTCTAAAACTTATTTCTTACAGTGCCTAGCAAACTTGGTTTGCTGATGTGGCATTTTTGTGGTGGCCACCTAGGTGGTAAAAAATATCAATCTGCTCTGAGTATTGTCAGAACAAGTGATAGCATGGAGAAGTTCGCTACTGCACACAGTGAATTATGTGCAATTGTCCGAAAAAAATAGTTGTTAATGTGGACAAGTTCGCCAGAGTATATAGCGAACTATGTCTAAAATGATTTCAAACGTCGTCGCAAATTTAAAATATCTATATAAAAAATATTAACCTAGAGAGAGAATAGGGGTTGTTTGCGTGTGGGGGGTGATGAGTGGTTTGTACTTTTGCAATATTGGGTCTTTTTGTGACTCTACTCTTTAGTGTGCTCATAATAATTTTCTGACAATTGAGTTTGAAAGCGTCACTGCCTCACCTCACCTCACAAAAACGCATGCTAATTTTTGTGCTCATAGTGCACACTCCCTTATTATTCTAATAATACTATTTTTGTTATAAAACTAATTTTACGAGTTATTCTAATAAATTTTAAAAATATTAGTATCTTTTTTAACTTCATTTCGTTTATATTTTTCATAAATAAAATGAGAGATTAATGATTACAAATAAACGAGAGATTAATAAGATAAAAAATATAAATACAATTATGTTTTTAAATTAAAAATATTTGATAAATTTTAATCTTTGTAAAAAAATTAAATTGAAAGAGTATTATAAAAATGCAACAAAAATTATATATTGTAATAGTTACAAAAGACTAAAAGAGTCAGAATACAATAATATAATGATTTTTTAATATATTAAAGTATGCTTTTGAATTTCAATAGAGATATCCTATTATTTATTATGGCAAGGATGTTACGCTTCCAAACCCAATTGTCAGAAAACCATTGTGAGCACATGGACTCAGTCTTTTTGGCAATGTTATTAGAACTGGACCGGTCATTGATCCGGTCGAGGTACCGGGTCACTGGGTCAATGATTCAACCGGTGGGTCACTGGTTGAACCGCATGAACCGGATATATACATATAAATTTATATTTTATACTTAATTATATAATAAATATTTTAAATGGTGCTATCTAAATAGTAACCTGATGTGATTTTTGAAATAATTCTCTTAACTTAATAATTATATATTAAATATATTAAATGGTGTATATTACTCAACCGAACTTGTCCACAGATACCAAGGTACTTTTTTCTGGGTGGTGCCATGTGGCACATAGTTCGCTTGGACACTCAGCGAACTTGGTGCATTTCAGACACACGACACACCTAGTTTGTTGCTTGTGTAAGCTTTTTGACACGTGGCCATACTTGCTGGGTAGTAAAGTGGCCTACGTGGAACATTTTTCACACGTGCCAAAGTTGCCCAACAGTCTAGCATTTTAAGTTCAATAAATTAACCTCTTCCGTCGTTGGAGTGTCGTTTCTCTTCTGTGGTTACATTTCATTTATGTTCAGTTAATGTTTTTGTTGTCTTTTTTTTTTACATCCCATTTCTCACAATGTTCAATAAATAGTCATCCGAAGTTGCATTTTTGTTCTTTTTTTTACATCCAAATTTTTTCAAAATGAGTGATGGCAATGATTCATTAATTGTCTTAGTTTATTACAATGGGAAGGAATATTTTGATCCTAATGGGCAAGTCTTTGAAGAAGATACAAAAATATTTCGCATGAACCCGCAATGTAGCTTTAATGAACAGAAGAAGACAATATACAAGAAATTGATATTACAACGTGGTCAATCTCTGTCTCGCTTGACTGCTCGATGTGCTTCGGGTAAAGAAAGTTGGGTTCTGGTGGAGATTGTTGTGGATGAAGATATCGCCTTAGTAGTAGATGCATTTTGACTGTATCCAGACTCCATATTTATTATCTTGTATGTGGAAGTAGACTCCTATGGACAGTCCAGCGTCAACACTCTGTCCATTCCATATAGTCGATCGACATGAATAGAGAGTCATTGGTGAATCTTGAAGATAGATATATGTCACCCTCATCACCGATACCAATGTCACCTTAATTGCATCCTACCCGAGATGAGTATGCTCCAACATGCTGTACATATAGCTCGGACGACCGGAAGGATGAAGCGGTTATTCTCGAAAGTGACTCATCGAACACCGATGTGGAAGAAGATTTCGATTCATGTTCGTCCCATGCCATGTGTCATCTGATTCCTTCATTAGGCATTGTTAGAGGGCACGACCCGCTAGTGGCATGTTAGTAATCGAAATTCATGAAAAATAATTGAATATTATATTTGACTAGTAATGTTAATCGATTGTGGCAGATATGTGCGATACAAAAGACGAGAGTGTTCCATTTTGGTCTCAAATAAGTCACTATACGACTATCAATTAGGCACATCAAGATCAGGAGTTGACGACAATGGATGGAGCGCAAGTACCTAACTGGCAAATGGGTCAAAAGCTGTATAAAGACAAAGTTTTTGATAACAAGCACGATGTGTAGATGGCTATAAAATAATTTTGTATGGTGGAGTATCACACAACTGTTGTAGCTAAAAGTGATACAAAAAGATTGATCATGGTATGTGAAAATCACAACGATGATTGTCCTTGGAGAGTGCGGGCACGCGTAAAAAAGGTGGCACTGAGTGTATTATCGACATATGGGTTAACCAACATAACTGTGTAAACCATACTCTTTCCCAAGATCACGAACAGCTGAACTCTAACTTCATTTGTTCAATGATCCTAGGTATGTCAAATGTCCGCATTTTTTTATAAATATTTTTGAACAAATTTAATAATAAAGAATTATTTTATGACTTGCAGAGACGATAAGGGAAGAGCCCAGTGTTAAAATATCACTAATCCAAGAACGGATAGCAACAAATCATGGGTTTCATATACATATAGGAAGGTATGGAAGACAAAACAAAAGACAAATGTCAAAATTTATGGGAACTGGGATGAATCATACGCTTTTCTGCAAATATGGTTGGATTATATGTTACAATTTTCGCCCGCGGCTACCTATAAGTTGGATTTAAACAATCATTTTGTTGACAACCGGCTGGATCAATCTCGGAAGGTGTTCGACAGGGTTTTCTGGACTTTCAAACAATGTGTTGATGCCTTCAATTATTGTAAGCCTGTTATCTAGGTAGATTAACTTATTGAAACATAACATACAATAACTCGATAGTTGTGTCCTACTTCGCAGGGACAATGATTAAAATATCATATTATTTGTAAAAAATTATTTAAATGCCACAGAATATTTTTTTTTCTTTCTAAAATATCATATCACCTAATTTGCTACAACACCTAACGAGTTAAGTGTGAATATATGGTAACAGTTTCATGACCACATCAATTATTGCACAACAAGATTCAATGATGTTTATACATACACCATAAAAACTTATTTCCTAAATTTTTGCTGAATATTATTTTATGGACAATCTTTATAGTGACTCACATTTCCTGTGTCGCACGGAAAGCTATGGGTAAAACGATCGTATTAAGAAGAATTTGGAAATGTATTTTCAACTCAAAGCACTTTTGAGATGTTTTACCAAAGTAGAGCAGTCAAACGCGTCGAAAAAGTTGACGAGAGCAGTCTCGTAAATCTATCCAACGTGACTGCATACCATGTAGGATTAATTGCACATGTATCATCAAAAGGAGTGACGCGTCCCAGTCCCGCCACCCTAGCTGACGCAATCTGTTGCTGCGGAGCCACATGGCACTGGTCTCGCCGTCTCACCCGACGAGGCTGGTTGGGTTCAAATAGTACAGTCATACTATTTTCAATCCCATGAATACTATTTAATCAATTAAAACACTAGAAATCTTGTGATAAGTACAACCGTACTATTTTTCAATTCCAATTTCTATTTAATCAATTACACTAACAACAATTTTCATTGTTGTTACTGAATTTTCTATCTGGTACATATATGGCATTGTTAAATTAAAGATGGGTACTAATAATTTACACATCAATTACAATTACTAATTACATTAATTATTGTTTAACAAAAAAATTTAGATTAGTTATTAATTGCTATAGGGATTTAATAAAATGATTATTAATTAATTAATACACTACTAACAATTACTATTTAATTATTTATTCATTAATTAATTTTTTAACTTACAACGTCTTTTCGTACGTTGTTATTTGTTATGATTAAATCAGTAATCCTAAAATAATTAAAACAACTACTAGGATTTTAATAATTGGTAATTATAATTATTATAAATGGGTTAATTAGTAATATTAGTAATTATTAATAAGGGAAATTAATAAAGATTAATTTTAATTGTGTACTTGTGTTACAATATATTTATAATATTTATAATAACTATAATTAGCAATTATTAAAATCATAATTATTAAAATTGTAATTATTGTTTTGATTAATTTATAATTACTGATTTAATCATAATAAATAATCAGTAGTTTTTTTAATTATTTTAGGATTACTGATTTAATCATAACAAATAACAACATAAGAAAAAACGTAGTAAGTTAAAAAATTAATTAACGAATAAATAATTAAATAGTAATTGTTAGTAGTGTATTAATTAATTAATAATCATTTTATTAAATCCCTAAAGCAATTAATAACTAATCTAAATTTTTTTGTTAAACAATAATTAATGTAATTAGTAATTGTAATTGATGTGTAAATTATTAGTACCCATCTTTAATTTAACAATGCCATATATGTACCAGATAGAAAATTCAGTAACAACAATGAATTGTTAGTGTAATTGATTAAATAGAAATTGGAATTGAAAAATAGTATAGTTGTACTTATCACTTAGGTTTCTAGTGTTTTAATTGATTAAACAGTACTCATGGGATTGAAAATAGTATGAGTGTAGTATTTGAACCCAATCAGCCTCCTCAGGTGAAATGACGAGAGCAGTGCCATGTGGCTCTGCAGCAACAGATTGCGTCAGCTAGGGTGGCGGGACTGGGACGCGTCACTCCTATTGACGATACATGTGCAATTGATCCTACATGGCATGCAGTCACATTAGATAAATTTACGGGACTGCTCTCGTCAACTTTTTTGACACGTTTGACTTGGTAAACATCTCAAAAGTACTTTGAGTTGAAAATACATTTCAAAATTCTTATTAATACGGTCATTTTGCCGAAAGCTATGGCGCGTTATTTATAATCTTATTTTCGTCCTCAATAACTGTCAGCAAAATTTTAATGAATTAATTAATTCTATTAATTTGATGAAATAAATAGTTGGGGTTAGATACATAAACGACGAAACTGTCCAGCGTCCAGACCAAACCCCTGAAGATTCTGAGTTGATTATTAATAATAATAATATAATACGAAAAATGATGTATTTATAACTTTTTTTACAAATTATATTAGGTATCATCATATATATTTTTAATTAAAAGATAACTGACAGTGTATTTATAAAAAACTATAAACAAAAAATTTATAAATATAATATTTTCTTTATTATATATAAACAACAAAAATAACCTAATCCTCAGTTGATTTTGTTCATAGCCGCTTCACTTTCTCTTTCTTCTTCGTTTCTCTCTCTAACACACAGTAATGGCTCTACAACTGTGGGAGACCCTAAAGGAGGCCATCGTGGCCTACACCGGCCTAGCTCCGGCGACGTTCTTCACAGTGGTGGCGCTTCTCTTGGCCGTTTACTACGTCGTTTCGGGTCTGTTTGGGTCTCCCCCTGACCACCGCCAACACCAAAACCGCCACCTGGAGGAGGAGCAGATGCCGCCTCTGCGCCCACCGGTTCAGCTCGGGGAGATCACGGAGGAGGAGCTCAAGGCATACGACGGCTCCGATCTCGAAAAGCCGTTGCTGATGGCCATCAAGGGTCAGATCTATGATGTCTCTCAGAGCAGGTATAATATAACACTACACAACCCACCCTTAATTGTGAACTGGATCCTTTCTGGGTTTTTTTTTTTGTAGTCAACGCTTATTTTGGGTTTTGGGTTTTTTTATTTTATTTTATGTTGAATCGATGTCCATTTCCAAGTTGGAATTTTTGAGGTTACTCTTATTATGTTTTTGTTTTTGGTGTATTTTATCCTTCTCTCTTTTAATTTTCGGTTTATTTCACGCTTATGTTTTTGTGATTTTTTTTCTGGTGCCTTTTTTTTTTGGGGGATGCCGACTCTATTTGAAAGTTTTTATGTTGAGTTTCTTTTACTGATGTAAGTGTCAGTATTTCTTTTGTTTTCCGTGTTTGGCACCTTAGTATGGCTCTTTTTGTTGCTCCTGTGTCATGTGATGAAAAGAGGATATGCTTTTCATATTATTAAGTCGGTGGTTTGAGTAGAAAATGGAAAGGTGGGGATTGAAAGGTTGAACACGGGACTTGTTTTAAACTATGTTGTCTTTAAGTTCTTTTTCAGTTTTCAACGCTCCATTTTCCATCTTCTCAGTCACACTCCTGAGTAGCTAGAAAAGTGGAAAGTAGACGACAGAGTTGATATGATTTTGAACTAAAGTTGTTGTGGCAAAGAGTGAAAAAGAGTTCATTCTTTTTTCATCTCATGTTTTTGTCATGCCTATGGTTTTTATTTGAAGCTTTTTACATTCTCACCCTTTGCCTTCTCCATCTAGTTGACCCTTAGCTAGAAGTAGCCTTTTCTTAGCTGAAAGATTGTCGCTTTTTCCTTGCTTCACTCCTTTTTTTCATGTGTGTTTCTGTGCAGTGTGCACATTCCAGCTATTTCAACTACAGTTTCGATGCATCTCAAAGTCAACAAAATATAGTACTCAAATAATCCTTATTTTTAATGGGCTAAAGTTTTTTATACTGTTGGATGCTATTTTGAGGATCCGACTAATGTATCAGTCATTTTCTTCCTTTGTAAATGTAATTTTCTCTTAGTCTCTAGTCTGTGTAAATATTGGATTATTGTGCATATTTAGCCTGAAGTAAGTTTTGGGGTCATATCTGAATCAGTCCTGTTGTCTTGGAGAATCCCATTTATTATCCAGAAGACCATAATCAAGCTGTCTTATAAGCTAAGATTTGCATACAATTTTTTTACAGTATACATCGTATATGGCTATGAAAGGTTATCAAGAGCATCTTATTTTTGTGTAGATACAAAATCCTTACTCCTGACTTACTGTTTGTAGCACTGTCATTTCAACATAATAAGCAGATTTGCATCTTTTGTTTCGGTGGTGTTTCATTTAATTTTGATTACAAGAAGTTTCATTTGTTTGTGTTGTAAATTGTAATGTTGTTTGCTTGGTCTGCGCTGGCTACCTTAGATCACCTCCAGTTTCAACTTTCAAATCTTTAGGTATTGAACTTGGTACAATGTAAAATATGAACCTTGGCCTTCTTTAAGAGTGTATATTATATACTTTTAAATGCCAATATCCAATAAACTGAAGTGATATATGACTTTGCTTGATAACACAGTTGCTTTCTCTATTATGCAAGAATGAATTTTGTATATATGTGCTTATGTTTTTCGTTTTTGTTTTTTATGTTTAACTTGATAGAGTGCCCATAATGTTTCTTATCTTTATCACTGTAAATGTGTTCTTCCAGGATGTTTTATGGACCCGGTGGACCTTATGCTCTATTTGCTGGCAAGGATGCTAGCAGAGCTTTAGCAAAGATGTCTTTTGAAGAGAAAGATCTGACTGGGGATATTTCTGGTCTTGGCCCATTTGAACTTGAGGCCTTACAGGACTGGGAATATAAATTTTCAGAGAAGTATGTCAAGGTTGGAACTGTCAAAAAAACAGTTCCAATAACTGAAGCAGAATCCACCGGTGAACCATCAGAATCAGCTCCCCGTGATGTTGATGCTGCTAAGCCTACTGAAGATGACCGATCAGAAACTGCAGCCGTTAAAAGTGATGAAACCCCTTCAAATGTTGGTGCAGATAAAGAGTAACGGTCTGGTTTTCTCACATACGCTTTTGCAAAAAATGATGGGAAAAAACTTATAGGAATCGCTGAGAAGGCTGAGTAAATGTCAGGCAAGTTTTCGTTGTTAGTTTAGACCACCCCTTTTGCGTTGTGGCTCTGCTTGAACATTAAGCCTGATAAATAATGAATTGTTAGTGGTAAATTATAGTTACATCTTCCTTTTGTATTCCATAAGATGTATATTACTTAACGGCAACAGACCAACGACTTTTGGGATCATATGTTGGGCTGACTGCTGAGTAGTGATCTTTTGTATAATCCTTGATGAATAATGCATTCTCTGTGCCAATAATAAATGAAGGATCAGTCTTTTGAACAATTCTTGATGAATTATGCATTGCTTTAGCTTGTACCTTTCAAATGCCGTGGCTTTCTGTTCTCGGAAAAGTTTTGATTGAAAATTTTCATCTGATCCGAAGTGTGTTAAGGCAAGCAATTGATAGTGGACGTTGTGATGTTGCTTTCTTAGTGCCTGATAGCATTTACTTGATTGCTTTTACTGCTAACTTTCGAACAAATAACTTTTGGGAATAAGAAAATTTTTCTTTCAATTCTCTACAGAAACCTCATATACAGCCAAACAAGCTGGCTAAATTTTTTAACTCTACATAAAAGCCAGAGAGAGTGAGAAAATCTTATCAAATTATACGGTGTGTAGATGTATTTCTGTTGGGTGCTAATACGGGCGATGTAATTTAAAAAAAATGCTTAATTGTATTTTTGTTCCGTTCTATTTGTTGTACTTAGTGTTAAGTATGCCATGTGCCTGAGCGAAAAGTTTGTGTGTAACACGGGAATAGATAGTGTAAGTGTGTTGAGACTTGAGAGTGATATTTTACTAAATTGATATCTTAATGAATTTATTGGTCTTTAATCTATTGGAATCTAAAGCTATAAATAGATTAAATATAAAATGGCGTTTTTAGTTATTATTAAATTATATATTTAAATAGATTAAAGTCGTTAAGTCTATTGAGTTTTTTTATTTTGTAAAGTATTATGTAACATACGTAAATTATTGATCATGCAACTTACGTACGTTAGTAATTGAACTACAAATTTACGGAGGATCCTATTTTATTCTTTTAGAAATATTAAGAGATTTAATTACTGCAAAAAATAAAAAAAAATTGCAGAATAAGATCGCAATTGACCAAAATAACGGAATATAAATATAATTAAGCCTGTAAAATAAATAAATTATGGGAAGGATATTATAACAATCACCGTTAGATCGATTATGTTGATCTAACGGTTATATTTATTTTTATCTTTGTATGATTATAATTTTTAATATTTAATACTTTATATTTATTTTCACCTTTGTATGATTATGATTTTTCATATTTAATGCAATATGAGAAATCATACCCATACAAAAATAAAAATAAATATAACCGTTGGATCAATATAATCGATCCAATGATGAAATTGATTGGTAATAACATTGATAAAAATACTAATTGATTGTTACAATATCCTACATCATACTTTAGAGAGGTTATCTGAGAGCAAGAAGGCAGTTCAAGATATGTATGTATTTTTCCTATTAAATTTGAAATCAAGTGCTCTGTTAGTATCGATTTGATCTAATTGGATCCAACGTGAATTTGTAGCTTATGTATATGGGAAAAACACTGATGTTGTAACCCTTCAATTTATATATAATTTTTTTTAATAAATATGGGATCTACCATAAATTAAATCACAATTTAAGAATTCAATTTTTAAACAACACGAGAAAATGAAAGCGCTATGTATGTTACTTTAATGATATGTCCTTTATTAATAAGGAAATTTCACTATGACCGTAAGTATTTGAAAAGTCAAATTTATTTCGTAATAATGTGCTGCAAGATGATTCTCATGATAGTTTTCTTCGTTCTTCATGTAAAATTCTGAACCTTCCCTCTCTTAGATTTTGGCTACGCACAGGAAATATCCGAATAATACAAAATTGGATACTGCAAATTCATATTCTAGTCGTTCAATTTAGGATAGTCCTTTAGTTCTTTTATTGGATTAATTGTAATTTTGGTCTTTGTTATGGTTAATATGTGATTTTGTTCCTTCAACAATTTTGCTACAACTAAAGCTTCAATTTTTTTCTAATTGAAAAAATCAGAGCCTTCGTTAATGTATCATCCAATTACTATAAGAAGTTGGTAACATGATTTAATCTATTCTGAGTTTAGTATATTTAAATACTTAATTTTATGTTTAGTATATTTATATTGAAGAATTTAAACATATTAAAGTCATTAGGAATTTATTATGATCTTAACTCAATAAACTGTCATGCCACGAATATATATAATTGCTCATGTTACTAATTTTTTTTAGTTATTGATCAATAAACTTGAGAAGGAATTTTTCCTAGTAATTGGACAATAGACTTCCGAATAAACTTGATTCTTTAATTAAAAAACTAAGAGGTTTAATTACTACATAAATTATTTAGTAATCAAAATTGCTCATCAACCAATTAACTTGGGCTAAAGGTGATATTGACGTTGAATTGAGAATCAACCTTATTGATTCTTTATTATTTTACAGGGAAATTTTTTTATGTAATAAGAGATTTTTTCTGCAATCTCAAAACAATATTATTTTGTGTTTGAAAAAAAATATCGAATTTTTTAAAATTTTTACTTTTATCTTGTATCGTAAATTTTATTAAAATATCTTAAATTATTTTTTTTGTAATTTACAAAATTATATTATTTTGAAGTTATATAAGATAATTTTTTTTAACCACATTTTTTTTTGTGGGATTAACATTTTTTTTGGAACATAATGACATCAATTTGGGATTTAAAAAAAAAGAGAGTTTAATAAAATTACATAACGAAAAGGATAGGGTTATTTTGACAATTTTTTTTTTTTTTTTACAAATTTTAATACTACACTATATCTTTTTTTTTTTTTGGAAATACTACTACACTATATCTTATTGGTAAGACTTTACTCGAAAGTATCTTACCCGTAAGATATAATATAATTTATAAAAAAATTATAAATATAATTTTCCCAATAAAGAAAATTATAAAAATAAATTTTTTTTAATCCAACAGTCCAACGCCACCTCGTGGGTACACGAAATAGCCGTATCTCATGGAGAAACATTTTTTCCATTTTTTATTTTCTAGTTTTTTGGTTCAACGGTTTTATACTTTTATTAGCGTTTGCAACTTGCAGCCGCTCCAAGCTAAACACAGCAATTCATTTTCTAGGTTCAAGTCTCTCTCTCTCTCTCTCTCTCTCTCTCATGTTTTCTTCACTTCCTTTTTAAAATTTCCAATTCCTCTGGGTGTTTGTTTCCCGAGAAAATGTAAGAAAAAATAGAACGTCTGTTTCTGCTTCTTTTTTTTTTCGTTTTAGATGGTGGCTGCCTTACATTCATGATTTCAATTTGATTGTCAAATTTTTCAAAGGTTTTGTCGCCACGGATCTCTATTTTTCTTTTGCTTTATGCCTTAACCTACACCTCCGTTTTGTGTCAAGAGGACTCTATATACAATCAAATGCGTTAATCGGTTTTTAAAAAAGTACTGTTTCTAGAATGAAATCTTACATTTGCTATTTGGTTATGAAGTTCACTGGAATCATGGTTTTGGATTTATCTTTCTGTGTCCTGTTAATGGAAATAGCATTGTTTGATAAGCTTGAACGGTTTTAGTAGTTTATTCTTCGCCCAGATTGGGCTTTAAATTTTGATGTTCGATTCAGATATTTTGCATTTCTAACCGTGTAATGAAATTGCTCTTTTAATGGTAGTATTTCGTCAACCCATTCCCCCTAGCATGGAATATGATGTAATGCCTTCCCATTGCTAATGTAATGGTGGTGAAATCTGTTAATTTTTAAAGATTTCCAACTGTGTTTCACGTATTTGGAAGAATCTGTTAGATATGAATGTTTTGATGGTAATGTGGAGTTTAAGGTTCATATGGTTAGGTAGATGAGTATAGATGAGCTTTAAGATCAGACAGAGGTGTTAAATTCTCATAGGTGCATCTTCTTTTATTATTATGGCTGTTACATTAAAACCTTATTGCTCATTGGAAGCAGTAGTTGAAGAAATGAATGCATTATTACTTGGTTGTAGTAATAGCTTTCAACAGATCTCTCATGGCTTTTTTACCTTTCTGCTTCAGTCTTTACATGAAGCAATTTGCCACTCTATTTTCCTTGTAGTTGTATTTCTTTTTAATGTTAACTGGAAGTGTATTCTTTATCTTATAAATGGTTTGTCTTGATATGCATTCGCACTACCTCCTTCTATTAAGTATTTATCAATGTTACTATGTACAATATATATATATATATATATCTTTGTTGGTTGATAAGGCTGGCTATTATTTTTATTTTTTTTGGAATGCCTGGTTTTCTTGTGTTTTCCTCTTGTTGCTTCATCAACTTCACGTATGTTTTTAATTGCTTCCGCATTCTTTAACTTTTTTGGGATGTTGTTTCATCATTGATTTTGCGTACTCTTTACTTCTTTTTTTCTCTTTCTTTTCGTTTCTTTTTTTTCTTTCATAATTTCTGTTTTTCGAAGTTCTAGGACTTGCCACATAAACTTGTTATGTTTTTCCAGTTGACCAAGCCACTCGGGGATAGCTTTGCATACTTTTGGTGTTCGAAGAGCCCATTCATCTACGAGAATGAAGTAATACTAGCAATCTGCTTTATTATTTAAATAATTTGGGAAAAGAAAATTATTTAAATTTAACTGAAAATTGAATGGTCCAGATTATTGTATATTCTACATCATAATGAGCTAAACTGAGAAATAATATTATTATTATGAATCTTTCATTTGTTTTTGCATTTCAGGGAACGTGTAAGATGGGATGAGGCTAATATTGGAGAAATTGAGGCAAACAAACCTGTGAGGCAAAAAATTACTGAGCCTAAGACACCGTATCATCCTATGATTGATGATGACAGTATGTAAAGATCATCAGTTAAACTGCATATTTCCTTGTAAACTTTCTTGCATCAGAATAAGTATGTTTGCATGGATATGGCATTCTATAGAAATAATATTAGCGGGGGAAAAGAGATATTTTGCTACCTTGAACTGTAACGTTGCATTTATTCTTCTTGTAGTGGGTATCAAATTCTAAACTTCAGTTTGTCTTCCACTTGGTTTGGTTTCTAAATGTAAAAATCTACTTTAATGTAACTCTACGTTTATGGAGTTTGTTGAAGATCCTTGTTGGTAGTTTTATTCTCAAGCCTTCTCTTTAGCTCAATCACTTTATGTGCTGCTACTTGTCATCTGAATAACCTAATCTTTTAGGTTCTCCATCCCCTGTACAAGGAAGTTTTGATGAATGTATTGATGGTGAAAATCAATCAGTAAATGCTGAGCGGACTGATTTTAGTAATGCGGCCTCTTGTAGCAGAAAAGGAACTAAGCAATCTGATGGCTGGACATCATCCGAGGATGAGGCAGAAGCAACGGAACAAGATGATGAAGGTAATATTAGATCCTCATTTGGTGTTTTTAACAAAGATGGCTACCTTTTATCTTTTTTATTGCGACCATTACTGCTCATATTTTCATCAATTTTGATCCAAATAATCTAATTCTTTTGATAATTTATCATATTATTACCTTAATTGGTGTAAATTACTTGCAACATGGAAGGATTAAGATGAAGTCAAGCTATTTAATTTTGATATTATATTTAACATGAGAATCCAGTATGAACATTAATGAAATCAAGGGTTCTGACAGACATGGTGAAAAAATAATGGATGCAGTTGGTGTCGCACGGTCTTCTGCTTGTGCTTAGTTGTGTCTTCTGCTTGTGTTTAGTATACGCAATGTAAAGAATCAATTCAACCCAAAAGCTTAAGCTGGTGGGTGAGGGCTTTTTCAATGGTTTATATTATTCTCTAATACGCCCCCTTACACGAGAGTTCACTGGGCTTGGAGGGTGGACAATGCACAAACCCACCTACCTGTACTAAGAAATTCCGCAAGAGAAAGTGGGGGATGGTGAGGATCGAACCCGTGACAACCAAACTCTAATACCATATAAAGAACCAATTTAACTCAAAAGTTTAAGCTGGTGGGTGAGAACTTTTTAATAGTTTTTATTATTCTCTAACAAGCAACAAGCATAGCAAGTTGCTAGTTGATACTCTCCAATTTCAGGGCATTGCTAAACCAAGAATTATATGTATCGGGACATCTAGTTATCAACAATGAATTGATCTAAACATGTTGTGCAAGACTGCGAAAGAAATGCTTGTATAGTACTGCGAGTTTAGTAAATATTAAACAAGTTGGTTCTGTCTCTGAATGCCATTACAGAACATGCATCTTTGACCCTCAACTAGAACTTTTTGTGGGCATTTTATCTCATTCTCCATTCTGGGGTATATCATGAGTGTGGAGTAATTTATTGCATTGGTAGATCACTTATTTTATTCCAACCTGATTTTTTTTTTCTGGGTTGGGAATATTATTGGATTCTGAAACAGATAGAAGTTTGAGTTTTAAAGAGCACAGAAGGGCTCACTATGATGAATTCCTTAAAGTCAAAGAGCTGCGACAGAAGCCTTCTCTTCTAGAGGATGAAAACGAGGAGGATAATAATACTGAGCTTGCTAAGGAGGATAACAAATGTGACTCATCTTCTCCAGCGAGTGATAGGTGAAGGAGATTGACATAGTGGGGAAAAAAAGTCTTCCATTCAATGCCTCCAACTCCAACTAAATGTTTCTTATATGCTAATCAACAAATAAAACTTCTTTGTATTTTGTGGACAGAAAATAACAGAATGATTCACTGTATTCGTTTTGTCATGTGTGTGAATAGCTTTTCTCTTTACACCGGGTATGTTCATAAGTCTATGCATGATCCATGCTCTTGTAATCTGCCAAATGAGATTCTGTTTGGCAAGCAATGAAATATTCCGGTGACAATTTTTTTTGAGGGATAGTTTCTTACAAGTAGCACTTCACTCGTGGCTTTTAGGTAAATAAGGTTTGATGCTTATATGGATATTGATTTTGCTTGCTGACATTTCATTTTATCTTCGGGTGTGGGAGGTAATCACCAATCTTGGCTCGCTCGTGTAGGCATTGCGCGGAAACTTTTTTAGTACATCCTTTTTACAAAAAGGAAAAGTTTTCTTCTTAGTTAAACACTCACATTTATCGTTATTTTCATCTAAATTTTTTTATTTTTTTATTTTTTTGGATCATCGTATGATGCAGCGGTAGCACCAAGCTTCACACATGTTTTGGGGTAAGTAAGGGTAACTGAACCGAGTTACCGGTGTATGGAGTTATTTTATGATGTGGTGCAATTATGCCACCGTTACCTTTTCTGTGGAATAAAATGTTATATATCATTATCATAAAACTATTAATTTAATATTTTTACTGTATTGAAATATTTTAAATTTAACACTTTATGTATGTGACTGCAATTTTCTTAAGTTTTAAAGTGACCAAATTATCCATGCGTTTATCCTAGTAATTATAGTTCTGCAACCTAGGATCAATCAAATAAAAAAAGATGATAAATTGCAGCAGAAAAGAAATTTCAAAAATTTCTGGCCATCAAACTTGGATAGAATATAACCCTTAACAAAAACCCTCAAAAGAAAAAAAAAAATGCACATAAAAGAGCCAAAAGTCCATTAGCAGGTTGTGAAGTGTGATGAGTGAAGAAGAGTGATGGCGTCTAATTCTAATTGCGAAGAAGTGGCTTCAATGGCCACACAAATCTGCACCCAAATAGCTTCCATATTCTCAAAGCCCACCCATCCATACCCGCCCCCACTGAACCTATTAGTCACCGAACTCGCTACCGTTGCCTCTCAAAACGGCCGCGTTTTCCTTTACGGCGTGGGCCGAGAAGGCCTCATGCTCAAGGCCCTCTGCATGCGCCTCGCTCACCTGGGCCTATCGGCCCACCTCGTCTTCGACATGACCACTCCCCCCATCGCCGCTGGCGACCTCCTCGTTGCCTCTGCCGGTCCCGGCGGCTTCTCCACCGTCGACGCCATATGCGCGGTGGCGCGTTCCCACGGCGGAAGGGTGGTGCTCCTGACGGCCCAGCCCGATAAGGGGTCTTGCATGAAGCACGCTAGCGCGGTGGCCTACGTGGCGGCGCAGACCATGGCGGATGATGCGGACGCAGGTGATGAGAAATCTCGGCCGTTGCTTCCGATGGGAAGTTTGTACGAAGGGGCACTGTTTGTTCTGTTTGAGATGGTTGTTCACAAGTTGGGTGAGGCCCTGGGTGAGAGCCCTGAAGCCGTTCGATCTCGCCACACAAATCTCGAATGAAATGGTATCAGCCGTTCATCTTGTTTTTTGTTGTGTGATGGGATCACCATGTATTATTGTTGTTGGAAAATTATGCTATTTACACAAATTCTGTAGTTGAAAATATGTACGGGGATGTAAGTTATGTAACTGTTTAAACCTTTCTAAATTTCATGTGGAGTATGATTCTGCTTAGTGTTTGGCTAATATTGTTAAGGAGAAATTCACCAAAAAAACATAATAGTGTTCAAGGATAAAATATGTTAATTTTAAAATTTATTTTTTTTTAAAAAAATATATTAGATTGTGTCTTTTTCTTATTTAAAATAATATAATTCTATGTCAAATATTTTTCCTAATTTTTAATTAATTGTTTAAGAGTGCAAAGAGCTTCTTGTTTTATTATTTATCAAATAAACTAACTTCCAACGAAATGAGTTCATTATCAGTTTTTGGATTGTTTAATAATAAAAGGGTCCATGGGAGATTATCAGGATAGGAAGCTTTAGTAATGATGGCATGAGAAAGTGCCAATGATGACGGGAACAAATTAAGAGGAATTGCTTTCTTTAAGCAAACGTAATATCCTAGAATGAAAAGTTACTTGTTGGTTGTAACCACAATCGTTGAGTGTCGTAAACTTGTAACTTTGTCCATTAAAGTTGTGTTTTAAATGTTCCAAATTGTGAAGTATGGTAACGTGATAAGCTTTCAAATTAGGAAAATATTGTAAGGGAAATTTCGTAATGGAAGACGAAATTGCAACATGAACTATTTATATGACTAAAAAATCTGTAGCTTTATGCTGAAATCTCAACTGATTCTGTGTTGGTTCCTCTGGCAAGGATCAAAGCCATTTATGGCAAGCCCCACCTCATCAGCATCCTACACTTGGTAATTCATTTTTATTTTTTATTTTAATTTCATTAAATACTTTAATGACTTTTTTTTTTGAAGTCAAGTTTATTCACTTTTAATTGGATGTATTTAAGAATTTATAATTAATAATAGTTGATAAAGGGTATCAATATACAATTAGGAGTGTCACTATATCACATCAACGTATGACAAATACTTGATTATTTCAAATTATTTTACAAATTAATTTGATTATTTAATGATTATATTCAAATGTATAAGTAAGATCTGCTGGAATACAAGAGTTTCTCATGTTTCTCAAAATATGTCGTACATTCCTTCTTTGATATTCTGTACGTATGTAAATTGTTTTTTAATAGTCATGATAGGTATTTTTTATAAAAGGAGAATTGTGTATGAAAAAAATACATATAAACAATTTTTAATAATTATTATATTTATACAAAAAATTTGATTATTATATTTAAACAATTTTTAATGATTATTTTCATATCTCGCCTACAAAAACTAGCAGGCAAACGTCGATAACCGTACCTGGTCATTTCTTACTATTCATAATCTTTCTCAGGTTCTTTGTCTTCTTTACGGGTTTAATATCTATATTAGAAGATAAAATTATATTTTATACACGCACAAAATTATGTGAAACTCAAATAAAGTAATACGAAAAAAAAAAACATAAAATTCATATACTTTTACGTAGACGTAACGTTAAAAATATTAAATCCTTTCTTTATTATGTCTATTATTTTTCGATTCTGGTATGACTTTTCTTTTCTTTTCTTTGCTACGCTGTCCTTTTCTCTTTTAATCCCCTAAATATCTCTCCTTCGTTTTCTGACCATTAATCTCTCTCGACGAATATTACTAGAAATCCTAAAATTGCCTTAAAGCAATTGATAACACTAATAATAAATACTAGATTAATTTACTCTGTATTTTTTTTTATGTAAATAAAGAGTAAATACTTTGATTTAAAAAATATGTAAAAAAGAATCATTTAAACATATACGAAATATTAGTTTATAAATAAAAATAAACTCATAATTGTAAATATAAAAAATAAAACAAACAAAATAACTAGTAATAATGTAAGAGCTGATTTTGGTTGTTTCCAATGAATACTCAATAATTGATTAGACTAATGTTAAACAAGATGACAACTATTATTGAATTAAATATATCTGAGGGAAAGATATTGTGATTGTTTATTTCGGAGTTGTTATCAATGTTTGATGTTCATATATAGTACCTTACTATGTTCTAATTTTTGTTTTTTCGTATAATGTTTCAAACTGACTTAATGACTTTACTAATCAAAGCTTAATATCTAGAATTGTCCATGTAGTTTTGGAGAATAGATATTTGTTAATTAAAATTTTCAACAAAGTAAATGACTCTAGAATTTGAACCGCACGCTAATTATAAGATTCCTTTCTCGCACCCGTGTATAACTATATTTTCATTTGATTCTTTTTAATTTTTATTTCTTATAGCCGTGACACCGTGACCGTGTGTATACTAATATCCGTACAATACATGATAAAAAAAGAAAAAGAAAAAAGTATCAAGATATTTTGGTTTGGTTTTGAGAAAAAACGCAGATGGGCAGCTAAGAAAGCGAGTATAACTAACTGTATTCAGATATTAATTTCCCCTCACTCACTCACTCTCACACAACACATCACACCTCTTTTTCTATCTTCCCTTTCCCTTACACCAAACCAAACCCAACCCCTTCTTGTTCTTACGCTCAATGGAATCTACGGTGCACGTGGCTGAGAGCCAAACGACGCCGGTTTGGACGGACGAGAAGCACGTGCACTTCCTCAACAGCATGGAAGCCTCCTTCGTCACAACAATGCTCCACCGTTATGGTCGTTATGGCTTGAACCACCATCTCCGCCTCGACCGCCATATACCCGACACCTCCGATTCCACCTTGGATTCCATACCACGCCGCAGAACCAAGAAACATGCACCCTCAGGTACCTCTCCCCCCAAAAAATATCTTTTTTTTTTTTTTTTTTAGTTTTAATTGTTGGCGTTGGTTAGAATAATAATAAGGCAGCGTTTGGGTGCACATTTGTGATTTAATGCGTTTGCAGAGGGTGTAAGATTACAACTTACACCTAAAGGAAAGGGACGTCGTTATTCGTTAAAAAAATATCGAATATACCTCTTAGATATTTGTCCATAAAGCACTTGATTTTTTTTATTTATCTTATCTTTACACTATTTGTTCATAAAAATATTGTGACAATTCACAAATATCTTCTTACATTTGGGGTTCAATTTTTTCTGATTTTTTCATGTGACAGATTCAATGGGTCCAATTAGAGTCAGAATGGGGAGCAGAAGGACGAGGAGGAGATCATATCAACTGCATAATTCATCATCGGAGCAGGTGTGTCTGTTACCGTTGGATCGTGATCGGACGGTCATGGACAAGAGCAAAAGCCTTTATCATGACCCACAGTAATGTGGGGGCTTTTATATACTATGTTTTATATGTTTACGCTTTGTTTGCTCTTCAACTTTTTTTGGCTTTATAAATTCAATTATTGGAGTACTTAACACAAGCAAGATATTTTGGTGCGTGGGGTTTTAGCTTCTTCAAGCAGTGCATGTTTATAAAATATTCTTTTTCTCCCAAAACAGATTTTTTTTTTTTTCTTTCTTACAAAAGTTGTTTTGCGTAACTATGTCTGGGGGAAAATCGGATAAAATTAATAATAATAATAATAGATTGTTTATTTATACTGAAAAAAGGACATAATGAAAAAGCTTTTTGGTTTCAACATTTTGATTGTAATTAGATGGGTTAATTTGTTTGCGTGATATCTTTATTATATTTGTCCCTTTAAAATATTTACCCTTTCATAATATATAATATAAACAAATTATTTCGTGTCGTTTAATATTGTATGATCTTAAAACAGTTGCATGTCCTTTTATTAAATAAATTATGTTATCCTAAAATCGCTTTCTAAGTTAATATATTGAAACATTTATATATGTGTATTGGGAGTAATGGGTGATTTTCATATGTTCTTACAGGTTGTCCCACAAGTAGAAAATGGAAGAGAAGGTGCTACTTGTGTTTTTGGAGAAGATGATAACGAACAGAGAAGTAATGTTTAGGGTACCTCCTCCCACCTGCAAGCAAAGCAAAAATTCAGGGCTGTTTACCCCCCCCCCAAAAAAAAAGAAGAAGAAGGAAAATTCAGGGTTTTTTTATATTTAATTTTAATTTTTAATTTTTTCATTTGTAGGTTATTTTAGCAATTCTTTCTCCGCCTCTCTCAGTTTTTTAAAGTTGCTTGCATATGTATGTGTACAATAAGAACAAGAAATTTGAATAAAGTATTATTTCGATAAGATATTAAGGACGTATATGTTAATTTTGTACTCCACGTTACTACTGCTACCGCTAGCTAAGCTGTTTTGGCATTACGGTGCTGCGTACGTTTTCTTTGTTTCTTGAAATTGTAAAATAAAGCAAGGTTTAGAGATATATATGGAAGATATTTTATTTTATGCAAGTTCTAGCTAGGTAAGATCTTTCCAAGATTCTATTTCCATGGCAGTGGTGGCATGGGAATAATAGAAGACCAAATAAAGTAATTTTTTTGTGATATTTTCGTAGTTGCATATATATGATATGATATTACATTCAATAATTGATATCAATTAATGCATTAGAAGATATTGATATCAATATATAGCACGTCATTATGATAGAGGTTGTTGGTGTGTTAATCCTTTCAATTCCAATTCAGTAATCCACAGTATGCACTCTCTTTTCATTTGGAAAATTCCATGCGAGTTTGCCCATTGCCAACTTCACATCTCTGCTCCTTGATGTTAACCCTTTTCTTACACATTCGATGAATTTATATTCTATTCTTTATACATCGTAGAAAATCTGTTTTGATTACTGAAATCATTTCATTATTTTCTTAATATAGGTAATATGTTGTATTTATATACTGCGTCTTCATTTCATGTGGGAATTAACTCAGTCCTTATTTAAAAATAAATAATAATGTACCCTGAAAAAACATTGTGCAAATAAATCATCACATTATTACTTCGATTACATTTTGGTACCATTCAAGTATGGGGGATTGATTTTTCACATTCAGTAGTCAGTAGTGGGTAAAAAATGAATTGTATGAATAGTATATGTGAAGTTTGTTGAATTTATGTGAGTTTAATATTATAAGGATGGTACATTATACATCTGATTATTTAGAAAGATGAAAATTTAATTTAATGCAAAAAAACGGTAATTTATATTAATTGTATAAATTATTAATGAATTTTAAAAGTATTTGTCAAAACTTAAAAAAATTGAATAAAATAATTATTTATAAAGTCAAAATGAAATTATAAAAACTATATTTTGAGAGATAGAAAAATATGGCTACATTTTTTCATACTTATTTTACCTATTCATTTTTAACACAATTATATCAAAATCACGAGAAGATAAAAAAATAATAAAGTTCAGTTGAAATTCTTATTTAATAATATTGAACAGGAACGAGTAGAGTAGATATAAAAAACAAAAATCATATCCCTTGACAATTTTTTTTTTTTACTTTGACACATCCCTAATGGTTAACTAGTCATCTCCAAGTAGTCATTTCATTTTTATTTTTTACTAAAAAATAAATAAAATAATAAATTTCTAACTGATCGAAAAAATAAAAATTAATAACAAAAATTTAATATACAAAGGCACACACGTGCTCAAAGACAACTCACAAAGACCCCACCTCAATACCCCTCGAACTTTTCACAAAGTCAACATATGCTTTATGTATAGCGATAAGCCGCCCTTATGTTATAAGTTCAGTGGATTGAAAACAAAAGGGTAAGTTCTTCATATCAGAGAAGGGGTGGATGAAATAGCATAACTTATAATTTCTTTAATGTGGGCCTTAGAAACTATGAAATGACATTAGGTTAAGTTTATTCATTTCTTTTTTAATGTGGGACTTTGAAAAACATTTTTTTCTTCATTTCTTTTTCTTTTTCTTCCTTTTTTGTTCTTTTTCTCTCTCTTTCTTTTTAAATCAAACCGATCAAGATAAGGTGTTTACAGCAACTATCTAAAGTAACATCACAAGCATTTAAAATATTTGTTTATGTGATCTTGCACCTTTTGTGTACGAATTGCATATGTTATTAACGTGTATAAATAAAGAGTTTGGTGTATTTTTTTAATTTATAAATAACAAGAATAATATTAAATAGACTATTCAAGGAAAAACCCAAACATATGTAGAATTTTATGTCTATTTATACAAACAAGTTTTTATGTAATACTATCAATTTATATATAAATTTGATGTTACAACAATGAGTATAAACTAAGTCCTTGTCTATACAAAAATGTTATTTGCAAGGTTGTTAAAATCGAGATCTTAAGTAAAATCGAAAGGAATTAAAAAAGCGTAAAATGTAAAATCGTAATGTAAAAAAATTATAAAAGCGTAAAAGCGTTTGAAATATTAATAAAATCGTTTTGGTAAAAAAAAATCATAAAACATAAAATCGTAGTGATAAATCAAGATTTTAACAACAATGATTATTTGTATAACATCAAACATAAAAGTTAGAATTGGATTTTTATTGAAAAGAAAAAAAAAAGAAATGAGATAATAAATTATTACCTAAGCATGCCTTCGAACAACTTACATAAACATACACATATTCAAGTATTGGAAATAGTGAAATTGGAATATATATATATATAGCAATATCCTTTGACACCGGTGTCAAATTTGAAATTTGACACCTCATCTGAGAGCCGTTAGATCAAAAAAGATCAATGGTGTCACATGCTCACAAGTCAGAGTCCTTGATCTTTTTTGATCTAACAGTTCTCAGATGAGGAGTCAAATTTCAAATTTGACACCGGTGTCAAAGGATCATGCCTCATATATATATATATATATATATATATATATGGAAATATATATTTTTGCAGTTACTGCCAGTGTTATTAAAACCCTATATATATATATATGGGAAATGTTAATCTCCGGCGACAGAAAGGAAAACAATTCTACTGCACACTCATCGGTAACAGAGTGTCTCTCCCTTTTTCTTTTTTTGAAGTCACGGGTTCCACCTAAAAATTGTCTCTGCTAGAGATTAATTTTTTTACCTACTACAAGAGAATATATATATATATATATATATATATATATATATATATATAGAGAGAGAGAGAGAGAGAAAGAGAAAGGGCTCTCTTCCGGCACTTGTTTTGTGCTCTTAAAACACTATACTCTCTTCTAAAAATAGAAAAGAAAATGAATTAAGAGGGAAATATAAAAAAAAATTGAAGAAATTTAAATGGAACCAATTTTTTCCATTTTGAAAAAAAGGGGAGTACCCCAAAGCACAATGAAAAATTCCGCTCTCTTCTTTAAGGAAAAAGGGAAAATCATATGCGTCATGAGATGAACTACTTTTCTTTGCTCCTTCAAATCAGGTGAACAAGAAGCAGCGATCGAATCGGGGGAAATGCCGAAAAGTGAAGGTAGAAGAAGGATAAAGAAAAAGAGAGAACAAATTTGAAACATATGAAAATGAAGTCAAGATACAGAAATCAGTCCTAACTCCTAAGTATGTTACACTTACTCCTTGCATCTTCCTTTCTTAATTTCTTGAGCTCTCTTCCTAGGGGCTATTTATAGGTTTCAACTTTCAATGGCTTAATTTGGAGGCCACTCAAGTTCTTCCCTTTATGATGGACAAGCTAAGCTCTTTATCCAATTCTACCAAACCACAATTCCTTATTAAATTCCTAGTTGTCAATTACCCCTGTCATGCTAAAAGTAGATTTTAAAAAAAATTGAAGGGGAGAAAAAAAAAGAACAAGATTTGAAATCTTCCAACCAAAATTTACTTAATATCTTAGGAAAGTATGCCCCAATACCTAAAGTTTTTGGGCTTATTTTCTCAGCAAATAGCAAGTAAATCGGTCATATACAAGTTTGATTTTGACAAATGGGATGAAAAAGGATAGTAAGCGAAATATTTCCCCTAAGAAACAATTTGGTCAGGATAAGCCCAAACTCCCAGGTATTTTGGGGTACCTAAGCCCAAATTGTCTTCTAAGTCCAACTTTGGATCTAGCAAAATCGGTGCATATCACTATAACTCGAACCATTTGAAACTCTATAAACTTATTATTTTCTTACTTTTCAAGTTTATAAGTTCCTACCCTTTCCAATGATTTTTATTTTTTTTATTTTTTTGGGTAGACTCAATGATTTTCAAATTTACCCTTTAAAAGAAAATTTTAGTTTTTACATATAGTGAATGTGCAAAAAAAAAAATTATTATTATTTGATAATATATCATCACGTTATTACAAGAATATGATAACAACAATTTAATGGATCTAACTTAAAAAAAAGTTTAATATTAATGCTCTATAAGTGGAAACCCGTTGGTTTCATGTGCATTAGAATGACATTAATTGTTAGCTAAGTACAAAATAAAGCTCAAACTCAACAACATCTAATTTAATAAACAGAAGAATATTTCTGCATTTACTCCCAAAACGACGTCGTTTTGGGATTGAAATATTAAAAAACTATAATTATAAAAATTATAATAATCCTGAAATAAATTGAAATTACAAAAATACCATGATTTTCGTCCCAAAACGACGTTGTATTAGACTTACTGCAGATAATTTATCTGTAGTAAATGCAGAAAAAAACAAGTCCTTTAACAAATATACTTACCCACACCAAAATATATATATATCTGTGTGTGTGTGTGTGTGTGCTGAGAGATCTTTGGACTGCAGTAGAAAACTTAGAAGTCTTATTCTCATCTCAGCAGTTGATTTTCGTCTATTTGTTTAAAATTAATAATTAATTAATATAACTCAATAAAGTATAATCGTTAGATAATGATTAACGTTTCTCCTGTCACAAGAAATAAATTTATATCTGCAACTTTAATACGACGTCGTTTAGGGGTTAAAGAATGAAAATAAAAAGTATTTTAGTAGAATTCATGATTCGCGTGGGAATGTATAATTTCAAAAATATCCTTTATTTTTAATCCTAAATCTCAAATCGTTTTTGGGCTGTAGGAGATAATTTTATCTCATTGTCGATAAATATTTTTCCCATATACATATATATGAGACAAGATATTCTTACATCGACGTAAGAATAAGAAGTTTTACACCAAATACTGATAATTGATTTGCTTGCATCCAACGATTCAAATATTTGATAAATCATAACCGTTAGATATAGATAGAAACAATGATCAAGATTGAAGTGTAACTTGCATCGGTGTAAAATGATCCTGACTTTATATTTATTTATATATATATATATATTGGCTTTAATGTTTCTAAAGTGAATGTAGATAATTTATCTATATTCGCTCATAAAATGATGTCGTTTTGGTTGAAGAAATAAAAAATTATAATGAAAAAAACTATAACTCTGAAATAAATTATAATTACAAAAATATCTTGATTTCCGTCTCAAAATGACGTCGTTCTGGGCTCAATGTAGATGAGTTATCTACATTGACCGTAGAAAAAGCGAACCTATATATATATATATATATATATATATTTATATTTAAACTAGACTAATTAATGTGGGTGAAGTAATAGAGTATTTTTTTTTTTTGGATTTGGATCCTATCATGTGTAAAAGTAGTCACGTGATCATGTTATTTGATCACAACCACTTATTATGATGAGATAAAAAAGAGAAAAATGTATGATTTTTAAATAAGTGGTTGTGATCAAATAACCTGACCACATGATTACTTTTACACTCGATTAATGTTGTAAACTCAATTGTTGAATAATTTAATTTTAATAAATTATTATTATTGAATAATTATAAAAATGTATTATCAAATGATTATATATTAATGTACATTTTTTTAATTAACATCATATTAAATAAAAATTTCATTAACGAATCCACTATGAACACTAAACAGGGAGCAAGTAGTACATTGACATTAATACTTGTAATCTATGAAGCACCGACACTTCAAAAACCCTGACCTGTCGTGTCCGACACTTTCCGATACTCCGACACTTCCCGACACTCTAAATTCGTTGGATTACTATTATCATTTTATTGAGTTTAATATAAATATTTGAGATATCTTATGTTTCTTTACAAAATTGATGGATATTATAAGTTTAACTTCATTTTTTATTAAATTATTGAGTATTAAATATAATATACATTATATAAATTTAAAATAATATTTAATACAAAACGTGTCTTAACTTGTCGAAATCTAACATTTTTTAAAATTAAGGATTGGAGTATTGTGTCTCGTTTTCCGAGTCGGTATCGACGTTAGATAGATTGTAATAGCGGAAGCATCAAACAAACTCCATCATCTGTCGAACAGAAAAGAAGGAACACCATTAACCTTAACAAGAGTGAATTCGACAAGAAGACAAGAGCAACCCACAATGCTCGAGTTGGTGGTGTTGTACAAGAACCCATTACTCCACACATCACTAATTCTCATCCTCGCATTCATCTTGACCTTCTTCAAAATCCCCATCCTCTTCCTCTACGGTATTCAAACCTACGTTCACCCTGATTCCCAATCCCAAAACAATGGCGTAAGAGCTGCCATTCGCCGCCCCGGTTCCAACCTCGACCTAAAGAAGAGGAACAAGTCAAAGGACAAGGTCGATTTCGATGAAAACAATGCTCAGATCTTCAGGCTCAGACTCGACCACGGCCACCTTCAATCTCGTCTCTTTGTCAATCACTATTCCCTCGCTTTCACCCTCTCCTTTCTTGCCCTTTCTTCGATCTTGCTTCACAATTTCTTGGATTCTTCCCAGAATCATGGGTTCTTCGCAAATGGGGTTTTTGTTCCGGTTCTGCTATCAATTTCGAGTCTTTATACGTGGGGGGTGGTGCTTGCTAGGGTCACGTTTGAGAGATCGGCGTCCAGGAGGTCGGAGAAGCAATTGAGTGTTGTTTTTGGGGCTTTGGGGCTTTTCTTAGGGCTTTTGCTTGTTCCTGAAGGTGCTTCCTCCGTTTTGGACTTCCATTTTGTTGTTCCAATTGATGGGTTTTGGAGGGTTTTCATTGCTGCATTGATGGGTTGTCTTGCGGGTTTTCTGTTTATTCCTGCTGCAAGAAGTGCACGTTCCTTTTGGCTTGGAACCGATCAGCTTCGTTGCAATTTGTCAATGATAACGTGTGGATGGTTTACCCGCTTGATCCTTTATGCAAATCAAATCTTTGTTATGTTTGTGGCTTCTCTGTGGATTACATCGTTGGCTGAAATTTTTGTAAACAAAAACTACAATAACAGCGAGGGAGCTAGTGCAACAACGAGTGGATTTGGTAATGCAGAGAAATTGGTTGGGAATATGGGGCTCCTGCCATCTGATTTTAGTAGCTTTAGGCGCTGGTGCTTGTTGGGGTCAAGTTTGTTGCATATTATGGCGTTAAGGCCAAACCTGCAAATGTATCTGAATGAAGCTTTGTTGTCTTGGTACCAAAGGCTTCATGCTAGCAAGGTTCCTGACTTGGATTATAGTAGGGCTAAGATGTTTCTGCATAATCACTACTTGTGCCTTGTGGTTTTGCAATTTCTTGCCCCTCCTGTGCTGGTACTTCTCTTTCTTGGCTTATCTCAGATTGATGGTCTGTCCTTTGGAAATTTCGAATTGTTAAGTAATTTACTGCCTAGCTCTGCTTTCTTCGAGGAAGTTGCTTTGTTTTTGGCTTGGTGGGTAACCTTTCTGTGGGCAATATTCTCTTCGGTGTTCCTTATGCTACATCGCCATTGTATTTTATATGTTTCTTGAGCTTTTGTTTTCTTGAGGACGATTCTATTCGGCCTTTCAGTGAGTCTTTTATTGTAAGTTGAATACTTTTGTGGAATTTTGAGAGGAGTGTTGGACTTATAGCGTAAGTTTTGAAGGTTAGTTGATGCATTGTGATTCTTTAGGTAACGGCAGATTTTCAAATATAACTGAGTTGCTTGTTGCTGTTGACTAAGTTATTGGACATACTGTAAACTGACTATAGAAAGGCCAAAGTTATATATTTCACATTCCCTCCGAAATATCCTGCAAACTTACATACATAGTAGTTTGTTAATTTGGTGCATGCTTGATAAGTTCATAGATTATTTATGGTGCATTTAAGTATAATTATGAACATGTAAAGTTTATGTGACGTAATTTTTAGTTTTAGAACTGTGTTAAATAAATGCAGAAATAAACTACTATTATTGTTGGAATGGTAATGGGGGAGCACAAAACCCTTTGCAAAGAATATATCTACCAATTGGCCAAATGATAAACCTTGAGGTTGTAGGTCTATGTGTCTCTTGCTCTTATATGATCCGCACTTGCCCTATGTCTAACTAATGTGGGATTTCATCTCTACTCACTTAAATATTTCCAACAATTATGTCTTGGTTTAAATTTAATGGCCCATCATTCTCTGCTCTGAGAATGTACAGTGTGTAAATGTAGACTAGAAACGTAAACATTTTCAGGGTCTTAACTTTGCAATACTCATAATTGTTTTGTACTTCGACTAGAAATGTAACTTGGCTGGATGTTGCTATAGCTTTTTTTTCTCTCCCAATAAGAGCTTCTTTACATCTGCAAACTATGTCAAGAAGCTACGGCATGAAGTGCTTTATTGTCCCTGCATAACACCTGTGCATCAGGGTATGAAACTGAAATGATGTATAAGCATCAATTTCTGGTAATAAAATAGTAACACTCCTGTTGTGATTGAGTGTTTCATGATCTAAAAATGATACCAGTTGATTCTTTGTGTATGCATACTAAGCTAATCACGACGCACTGATGTTGTATTGTGTATTGGATACTGATTGTTTAGAACTATGGTTGAGAGGTTGTCTTCACTTGTTATGGGATTATATATTTTGCAAAGTATATGCTTGCATGTGATTTCAAGGCATCAGAGAACTATTTTCATATAAAGTAGTGTTATTTCACACAAAAGCTGTTTTCAGGAAAAGTTACAAATAAAGTGGCACTTTTTGTTTTAGACTTAACTTCTCCTCTGGGTTGCTTTGAGGAATGCAAGAATAAGCCTTTCAGCAATATTTTACTCATAGTTTGAGCTTCAGTATGTTGCATCATGTTTGGCCCATTCCAGATGTTAGGATAGTGGCATTGTTGCACTTAAACATTTGTTGTGTCTCACAAAATAATGCTGTGTGCAAGTTTGTGGTGTTTAACCAGATCTAGATTAGCTTATTTTTTCATACTGAACGAGAACTTCTTTTTCTGTTTCCCTCTTTTTTTTTACAGCACTCGTATGCTTTATTGAATTAACACACGCAGGTTTTATTTGTATTTGTACATTGCTTCATATAATGCTTTGTGTTTAATTATACAGCCTTAGTATTAGTTTAAGTTACATTAAGATGACATCTGGTATTCTGGTGCAAGACTGTGACACTCAAAAGAAACGGGAAAATCTTGATATAATTCTTTTAAAGTTGTCTTTTAAGTACTATCTTAGTTGTATTTCCCTGCAACTTTTATGCACCACCTTGCTTCATTTTAGGTGTGGTTCTTTACAAACTGATTTATATTTTGGTGCAGTGCATAAACTAGTGTCTTTAAATAAGTCTAGCAATGTGCTATTTTACTAATATATTAGTCTTTGAAATGATGACCTCTGCGGTTATTGATCTTTTTCGGTTAAATGTCTGACACTCATGCCTGAGTTTGGAAAATATTTTCGGTACATCAGATGTACCGAAAATATTTTCCAAACGAGCATATTTTCCATATCCTCTTTTTTTCCATTTCAGGAAAAGTACTGAAAATATGCTCCTGAGTTTGATAGATGTTAAAATATGAATTCTCCTGTTCATTAATGTCATCTGACTATAAAAGTTGTTACTCTATTCCTAAAAGGAAGAAAGAGTAGGCATGTTTTAAGACTAGTCACTGATATTTGTGCACTATGTTGCTAATAACTAAATATATTTCTATAGAGCATGTGTATGTGTGTCTGGACAGTAGGGAAATCTCAGCAATTGATAATTTGCGGAGTCTGAATATTGTGGTTGACTGGTGCTTGGTAGTTAGGAGTATACAAGATGGGGTGGATACATATTGAAGTTTAGATTGACCCATTTTTCTAGACATATATATTGTCATTTGCAAACAAGATGGTCCAGAACCATGAGTCCAAAATGTTTTTATCTTTTGGATTTTTAGTTCCTTTATGCCTAAGTTAGTTTCTACATTGTAGAGTATGAACTACCTTTATGATGAGGCTGAAACTTATGTTTTGGCAATGGTTTTAATTGCTTCGGGGATAGCATTTGTATTATTCTTCCTAATACACATCATGTGCACTGATTTCACTCTTATATGGAAATTGGTACTTGCAAATGTCTATAAGAGGTATGAAATCTGAACCTTAATGGTTAGTCTCAGATTCCTACTCATTTTATGTAGGCATCTGTTAGTATTGACAATAAATATTCATCGTTTCAAAAATAGATAAATAAATTCTGCAATAAATATGCATAGAACTTTTTAATCTTTGTTTAACTATCCCATTATGCATATGAGCTTGTTCATACTGAACAGAGAAAGTTTAAAAGCTCATCTCTGTTATTTGTGGAATGTAGATTGAAATTCTTTGGTTGAGAAATCTATCAAGGGTTCCCTTTATGCATTTTCTTCCCCTTTTTTTTTTTTCTTGACACGGTTATTTTGTGACAAATTTTGTTAAGTTAAGCAGTGGTAATAAATTTTGGTTATTGTCAAAAAATAAGATACAGTGAACAGTCTAAAAAAAAAAAAAAAGTCCTGTTAGAAGGAATAAAATGCAATTTTCCTCCTCCTCCTCTTTTTTTACCTACTCTTGGCCTTTACTATGGTATCTGGGACATTCTACGTGATTACTGTAATTAGTGGTGCAATACTTGTATGAAGTAAAACCGGAAAAATTATTTTACGAACATGGTGTACTTAACTAGGGTTTGCTAAGTTAATAAAGTATCCTTGTATCATTAATATACTCGTAAATATAATATTCATTTGATAAAATTAAGTAATGTGTCAATTTATATTATTTTAATACAGTCAGGTTGATGGCATATTATGTTTACAGAAGAATTCTGGAAAACGGTAGTACAGATCTTGGTAAAGATTAAAAGTCTTGCTGAATTAAAAAGCTCAATGCTAACGTAAACTAACTAATTCAACTCAACAGTTAGAGATGGTAACAGATGGGTTTATTGGATAATTTAATTTAATTTTTTTTTATGTTCTATTTCACTAGAAAATAGAGGGTAACGATGATCAAATTTATGATCTCGTGGTCACCTCTGATACCACGTAAAATCCAACAGCTCAAGTTATTAAGTAATGAGTATTTAATTGTTTTATATTATATTTCTTTAATGTAAAAAATTTTTCACCTAAAAGCTTAAATCGATGACTGAATAGATATTATATCTCTTTAAGATCTAGTGTAACATACGTAATATGTTTTTTTTTTTTGGATATTTTTTTTTTAAATTTCTTTGAAATCTTTCTACAACCACAATATCTTTTATATCTTTTTCTTTCTTAAGGCAGAATATGTTTGTCAAACATACATATTATAAAGGGACGTGATTCTTTGATATTTGTGTGAAATTTTTAAAGTTTCACATCCCATCTATCTGATGACAATAATTTATAAGATTATATTTATTAATTAATTATTAATTCTTAATAATTTAATGTTATTAGATTGATAAAAATTAACTATTTAGATGAAGTGTAAAACTAAAATTTTTGACACCAATATAAAAGTATCTCGTCTCTTTAAAATATATATGTTTGACAAACATATTCCGCCTTTTACATACATACACACACAACTTTGTTTTGTCTGTTTTTAGATAAAAATTTACCACTGAATATATTTATGCTATAACAAAAACATATATGTACAGCATTGAATACACATTTTTAACATATTCAAAATGAATGCTACATAAATATTTCTTCAAAAGAAATGCTTAAATTTGATATTCATCTATTAATATATTATTAAGTAGTTACAATTTTTAAATAATATTTGATCGTTAAGTGTTGTTATTAATTTGATAATATATAACTAAATAAAAGTGTAAAAAAAATTACGCTTACAGTAAATTAAAATTGAATCTTCAAAAAAATGTGAATGTCAGTTTTAATTTTGTTGTAGTGACTAGTGTACTATTTGTGAGGTGTGAAAAACGAGCAAGGTAAACGACAATAACAATATATACTTCTTATTGCTTGTTTGTCATTCTTCTCATTGTTTGACAATAACAATAATTAATTTTATTTTTTATGTATCGATATTAATATTTAGATGGATATTAAATATATTTGAGATTGATTAAAAAATAAATAAATAGTATCATATCTAAATTTATTCTGTCTCTAATTTTCAAATTCTAAATATAATCTTCTTATCTTTTTCCATTTTTCAAACTCTAAATATATTCTTCTTATCTATTTGAATTTGGTTATAAAAGTAAAATCAGTTTCATCATGTTTAAATCTTTTTTATTATTTCAAATTCTAATTCAATTATTTACAAGTTTACTCCTTTTATATTTTGGAGGTAATTTAGTTGGTAGTAAGAAAGTTAAGTAACTGCCTGTAATCTAGATTAGTCACAACACTCCAGATTAGTCTCATGACAGGCTAAAAGAGTCGAAGCTTATGAAAATATCAGAGGGAGCTAACTTGCCTCAAAGAAATAATTAGGGTTTGATTAACTCTAACCAAAAAAACATCTTTCAAATATTTCATATTTTTATATTTCTTGAAATAATTTAAAATTATAATTTTCTATTGTTGCGGAGACATAAACACCGTCAGTCTCATTGTATAGAAAAAAAAATTTGAAGTGGGCCCACATCGGAAGAACCCATTGTCTCCTATAGTATAAGAATTATATTTCCCTTGGGAAGTGTTTGGTTGGGGAGAAGTTAAAATTTTGGTGGAAAAGTGTATGTGGGAATCTAACCCAACCACGTTTGGTTGAAGTTTTTTGGAAAGTTTTCCCAGCAAACAGGTTTCCCCTGCAATCCAAGAAGAAGTGTAAAAATTTGATATCGACACTATTGAAGAAGCTGTTTCAACATGTGGTATTGGTTGAGGGTATCGGATAAGTGAAAAAGGTTGAAAATGGTATGACAAATATACCCCTCCGTCTTCAGCCCCCTGTTGGGAAACCAACCATCGTCGTGTTGGTTTTGCTGGGGAGAAGTTAAAGTTCTCTGTCCTTATCTGCAAAACACGCAGAGACACACCACAATCAACAATCCAAAGCAAAAATCAAGTCACGAACTCGCCAGATCGAACCACATTTTCGCACCTCTAACTTCCTTCCTTGAATGATCCCGACACCGTAAATGACGGTGGAGTTTCCACAGTCGCCTCCACTCCCCCGTCGCGGGAAACCTCCGCCATGGCTGATCTAACCGATGCCAAAACCACTCACACCGTCGTTCCTCCATCTTTCACCGGTCAAGATCCCAGTTCACCTCACCAACCCATTCGAACCTTCACACCAAGATCCCAATTCATCTCACCAAACCAAACAATCATGCACTTCAGCTTACCGAGGCCACAGAGAGTCGAAATAGTTAGAAAAAGAACTTTACATGTTAGAAAATGTATAATTTTATAAAAAGGTTAATTTCGTCTTTTGCATTATTTTTCCCATCACAATTTTATTTTCAACCAAATACATATCAATATATTTAACCCAATTTTTCTAGTAATATTTTGCGCTATCAAACAATTTTTTTTACACTTTCCTACTAAACTAACTTTCCAACGTCTTTCCCAGTGAAGACAACTGCCCACCTTAAAAAAATTTCTCCCCAACCAAACATAATCCTCGGAGACTTATATTTCCTCGGAGAAAACTCAACAAACAAATCTTGTGTCAAACATGACTGTTCAAAGATAATATCAATAATTGATTTTGAAAAGTAAAAGAATAACGTCCTTAATTTCGTCTTCTTGTTCTACCACTAATCCAAATTATATAATTCATAATATATTTATGCAATTATTTTAAGGTTTCATTTCTTTTATATTTATATTAAGCTAACAAAAATAGAGATATTTTTATAATTATAATTTATTTCAGAATTATAATATATTTTCTTATTTTAATTTTTTAACACAAAAAAATAACGTTTTGAAATTGAATATAAATAATTTATTTACCAAAAAAAAAAATTATTTATGGTAGAAACATTAAAATCTTATTTAAAGGGTTTAGTGTTTGTCATTTTTTTATTTTTTTTGATAACAAGTGTTTGTCATTTTAGAAGAGAGATAAACACAAAAATAAAAATCATCGAAGAAGAAAGTGAGTGATTTTTTTAATTTAAATTTTAAATAAAAAACATTTATTTATGTCTATCTCTCTCTTAAAATGACAAATACTCTTCTCTTATTGTAAAGTAATATTTTTGTACCCAATGGGTGCAGCTCAGTTGGTAATTTGGCGCTGAGTTAGTGGGGTTGGACATGTGTTCGATTCCTGCTGAATGCATTCTTGGGGAGGGGGCTGAACCTTTAGCCACCACTGCTCCCCCGCACTCCGGATTAGTCCCATGGCCGGCTCAAAGAGTCGAAGCTCGTGGGGATACCGGAGGGAGCCAACTCGCCTCAAAGAGGTAATTAGGGTTGGGTAACTCCAAAAAAAAGTAATATTTTTGTGAAACTTTTGATCACAAGGACTATAAATTTTTCATTTTTCAAGCTTCATACTTTGCAATACGTGTAGACAAATTTTGATACTACCCTACTTTTTCCCCCCTAAAATGGAAGTGTATAAGTTTATGCACTAACATAAGTTACTACTCAATTGGGTAAAGAGTCGTTACAATCCTCACAAAGAGAAGGAAGTTTCGCGAGAAAAAAGAGGTAACGTAGTAGCTTCTTTCTTCTTTTCTTTCAATTTATTTTCCATTCTTTTCTTCCATCTCTCTTTTCTTTTTCTTTCTTCCATTCCATTCCCTTCCCTTATAATTTCCATGTGAACCTTCTAGAACTATCACCATTAAAAAACAATTCGTCGGCTATTATTAATTACTCCATGACTCCACCAATGGAACACAACGGCGATTCCACGGCCTGTGAGTCTCAGAGATCCATTCCGACGCCGTTTGTCAGCAAGACATACCAGCTCGTTGACGATCACAATATCGACGATGTGATTTCCTGGAACGATGCTGGATCATCCTTCATCGTATGGAAACCTACCGTTTTCGCCACGGATTTGCTTCCCAAATATTTCAGGCATAACAAGTTCTCCAGCTTTGTTCGCCAACTCAACTCTTACGTAATTCTTGTCACATATATAATGGCAGCTTTTTCTGATTTTCTCTATATATGAATTTCTTGGCTAAAGCACCATTTTAAAGTTTTTGGACAAAAGAATTATCCGGTTAAAGCTGATTGCATAAGTTTTTTCAAAGTAATGCAGTCAAACATGCGCCTAGGCTGACGGAATTAGTCCCGTCACTGATACTGACGGGACTCGTGTCACGTTAGCGCCACGTAAGCAGTCCAATTACCGTAAATTTTCGGAAGACCATAACTTGTAACTCAGGTATCTAAATCAAATGTTTTTTTTTGATTTCACATAACTTTTCAAGATCTACGCCATGACACCTCATTTGATATATTTTATCTCCCACAAACATAGTCTTATGGATAAACACTCTTGTGATTGTGATACAATTGTTACAAATTCAAACTATGTTTGTGGGAGATAAAATATGTCAAACGAGGTATCATTGCGTAGATCTCGAAAAGTTATGTGAAATAAAAAAAAAAATCATCTGATTTGAATACCCGAGTCAGTTATGGTCTTCCGAAGATTTACGGTAATTGGATTGTCTACGTGGCGCTGACGTGGCGCGAGTCCCGTCAGTATCAGTGACGGGACTAGTCCCGTCAGCATAGGCGACATGTTTGACTGCATTACTTTAGAAAAAATTATCCAATCAACCGGGCAATTCTTTTGTCCAAAAACTTCAAAATGGTACTTTTCCCGAATTTCTTTTCTTTATTTTTTGATTTTGTGTTAATTTTTCTTGATTTGTAGGGATTCAGAAAAGTTGCACCTGATCGGTGGGAATTCTCGAACGAGTGTTTCCGAAGAGGCAAGAAACTACTTCTCTGTGAAATTCAGCGAGGGAATATCCTCTCAGCATCGCCGCCGGCGCCTTTGAATGCCGCAGTAACTGCGACCGTTGCGGTTCCGATCTTGTCGCCGTCGAACTCAGGGGAGGAGGAGCAAGTGATTTCTTCGAACTCGTCATCATCGAGAGCGCGGGCGGAGCTATTGGAAGAGAGCGAGAGGCTGAGAAAAGAGAACTTTAAGTTAAACAAGGAATTAGAAGAGATGAGATCGCTCTACAGAAATATATTCAATCTCATTTTGAATCACGCAAACATTGACGGCGGTTCGCAAGGTAGGGAAGATGGTTACACAGAGGCGGAAACACTTCATTTGATGCCGATGAGGCGTTGCTCCGGCGAGGATGAAGCGGCAATGGTGGTGGAGGAAATGAACCCGAAGCGAGCAAGAGAGGATGACACGGTGTTAAGACTGCATCAGCCGGGCCATGCGAAAGTGAAATCAGAGCCGTTAGATTAGAGTCACGGCGAAAATGGGGGAACGCCGGAGTATAATGACGTTCGTTAATGCAAGTCAGGGACATGTTAGGTTAAATTAGGGGCGGCGTAGAGTATCTAGTCCGTACGCACGGAGACACACGTGCAAAAGTGTCAAGTGCGTCGTTAACCGTTTCGGACAGTTTTCTCATAAGTTTCTTAGAAGAAAACAATTTCTCGTTCCCTTTTGTGCTCTTTAATTTTTTATCTTTCATTTCATTTTTTTGGGCTTCGCTAGGTGACAGTAGTGCTAGAATTTGTTTTCTTGCCCCTTGCCAGCTAAAGGAACAAATTTATAATGAGTGTTGCTGCGACGTATCTTATTTGGGACAACAACCGTTTTGTCATTTAGCGAGTTAGGTATGTGGCAATTTTTACTGAGGCCACATAACACATCGGTTCTAGCGTGTTTAGGAGAGATAAATTTTTTAAAAAATTTATCTCTTTACATCAATATTTATTACTTTGTTTTAAATTTCTTTCTCTTTCTTTATCTTATATCACATAATCACATTTTCTCTCTTTCATAATCACACTTTATAACAATTTGCTGGAGAGATTTTCTCTTCTCTCTCTCTTAGCTATTAGATATACTTAATAGTTACTTACTTTTCTTGGAAATTAACGAAAATGTCACTTTTCTAAAGCATTTATGGAGTTTGTAAATATTTAAAATATTTACTTTATTCCACTTACCAAAAAAAAATTCCTTCCTTCTTTACAAAATGAGTATATAAAATCAAGGTAGAAAACATTGATTTGTTTAGCTTTCTCGATTTTCAAATCAGTTTTGTTGAAATTTTATTTAATTGAATTTCTGTATGTTAAAGTTGCAACAACACATGTGCAAGACTAAGGGTGTTCATCAATCAATCCAAACCGCGGTAACCGAACCGAAAAATTAAAAACCGAACTAACCAAAAAATGAAAAATTAAAAACTGAAAAAAAAATCCGCAAAATTTAATTGTGTTGAATCGGTTGGTAAAAACCGATCCAATGATTCTCCAACCTTACCATCTACCTACTTGGACATTTTCCCAATCATAGCCTAAAAGCCATATAGCAAAATTCCAAATCCGACCCATTAACTCATCATGTTGGAGAAAGTGGATTGTGCTTGATCTAAGTTATGCTTCTTCTTTTTTTGGTAAGATACATAATATATTTTTATTACATAAGTTATTGTTATACAACAACTATTCTATAGGATGAAAATTTGGGTTACTTTGTATCTCAAGCAACCATATTATAAAATTTTTGTTGGAAGTAAAAGATGAAAATTTAACTTTTTGTTGTACAATGCTTCTAGATTGCGTAATAATCATCATACAAACTTTACAAAGCCGATGCATACAAAAGATATGTCATTAGCACAATAATTATCATACAAATCTTAGGCTTTTCAAAAAATCGAAAACCAATCCAAAAATAAATTGGATTGGATTGGATTTGAAAAAAAATTCAAACCCAATAGATGATTTCATGATTAAATCGATGAGATTGGATCAGATTATTTTTACTTTCAAAATCAATTCAATTCAGACCGCGAACACCCTTATGCAAGACAATAGTTAATTTCAAAATTTATTTTTGTGAAGAAAAGAAAATGAAAATAGTGGGAGTAAAAATGGAGAACTCTAGCGGTAGGAAAAGAAAGAACAGAGCAAGGATAGACGATAACATGCTGGCCAGGCGTGAAGAGTGACCTGATTCTATCTAGCAAGCTCCACCACCTCCATTAAAGAGAGATACGAGCTCACAAACATAGTGAATAAAAACCAAAGTTCCACAAATCTATTTTTGTTTTGCATAAATGTGATGCGAACAGTAAAAAAAAAATTAAAATCTCATACATGCAAATTCGCTGCAACAAGTAATGAATTTTGTTTGCAAAGATAGCATCTTTTTTGTGTCCAAATACAAAATTAATTAGTTTAGTATTTTTTTTATTTTCATCGATAATTAATTTTTTTTTAAGTAATGATTTTTTGTTACTGTACGCTATTCGCCCACTAAACTTTTACGCTGACAATTTCTTGATTCAACATTATCTTCAATAATTTTATGGTGAATGCATTTGTTAGGAAAATTAAGTAATTATTAATTGTATTTAATAGCCAAGAGAGAGAGAAAATATAATTATCTGCTATAAAATAAAAGAAGAGAAAGAAACTTAAAATAAAGTAATAAATATTGATGTAAAGTAATAAATTTCCTTTAAAATTTCTCTCTCGTAAACTCTTTGGAACTTGCAGCGACTTTTTGTCAGAAAAGTATCACGTAGACTACACATATCTCTCTTTGCAACAGAGAAGGATAGACGATAATATGCTGGCCAGGTGTGAAGAGTGACATGATACTATCTAGCCAGCTCCACCACCTCCATTAAAGAGAGATATGAGCTCACAAACATAGTGAGAAAAAACCAAAGTTCCACAAATCTAATTTTTTTTTTGCACAAATGTCATGCGAACAGTAATTTTTTTTTAAAATGTCATACATGCAAATTCGCTGCAACAAGTAATGAATTTTGTTTGCAAACATAGCATCTTTTTTGTGTCCAAATACAAAATCAATTAGTTTAGTATTTTTTTTTTATTTTCATCGATATTAATTTTTTTTTAAGTAATGATTTTTTGTTACTGTACGTTATTCGCCCACTGAACTTTTTCGTTGGCAATTTCTTGATTCAACATCATCTTCAATACTTTTTATGGTGAATGCATTTGTTATTTTCATATTTTATATTATATGTATTTGACACTTTTTTAAATATTTTTATCGGTAATAAATTTTATCAAAAATTAATAATGGCAAGGGAGAGAAAAGAGAAAATCAGATATAAATTTTCAAAAATAGATACACTCCTTAAAGATTTTAGGAAACCTATATTTTCGTTCAGATCTAGGAAAATTAAGTAATTATTAATTGTATTTAATAGCCGAGAGAGAGAAAAGAGAAAGAGAGAGAAAATATGATTATGTGCTAAAAAATAAAGGAAGAGAAAGAAACTTAAAATAAAGTAATAAATATTGATGTAAAGTAATAAATTTCCTTTAAAATTTCTCTCTCCTAAACTCTTTGGAACTTGTAGCGACTTTTTGTCAGAAAAGTATCACGTAGACTGATGCGTTGATTGGCCAAACTCGCTACACTGTGCAACAAGTTACGTGGCCTCAAAAAAGTTGTCATGTGTGGACCTAACTCGCTACGTGTTGTAACGAGTTAGGTTGGCATTTTGATAAATTTTTATTAGTGCGGGATATTTCGATAAATTTTTTACTAATATGTGACAAAATGGTCATTTTCCCATCTTATTCATTTTTTTTTAAATATTTGGGCTAGAAAAGAAAATAGAAAAAATAAAAGTATAGAATTAAAACTATCATATTTTATTTAATATTTAAATCAAAAAAAATTTATCAACAATTTGACTCTCTTACCATAATTTTTATTGCATAACCATTTCTTTCCTTATAAAACACATTAGTTTTAATTAAAATGATATAATTTATGTCCTTTAAAAGAATAAATATTTTTCTGAAAGAAAATTTATTTTTCTTCTTCGTTTGTCCCAAATTTTTTAGAGGAAGATAATTCATAACAACGCATTATCAAATATTAAATGGCCATCATGTAAAAGGATCGCATCCAATTTATTTTTTTATTTTATTTTTATGACAATTTTAAAAAGTGCTAAACTAAATTTGGGTATCGAGGTTCAATGATTAAGGAGAGGAATACGTTGAAATTTTGTGGGAAAGGGTTTGGAGGCTATTTAACAATTTGGGGCAATTATATGTGTATTTTATAAATTTGGTATGCCCCCAAAGATATTTTATCTCGTGGTGTTTAGTTCCGCGAAGTGAATCCCATAGAATTGCTTTTATATTTATTTAAATTTTTCTAATGAGTTTTACATGTTTCCTTTGGGGAACTCATTAATTTTTTTAATTTTTTGCTTCAAGTTCCACGGGAATCCCATAGGAAACTCACACATTGTGCCACGTGACATGATTTCATCCATCCAAAATTCTTAACTTTTAAAATAATGTTAATGAGTTTCTCAAGGAAGGATTTGCAGTTTCACAGGGGTGAAACTCAACACCCCCATCGGAAAATAACTTTGGGTACATTCCAATAAGGCAGAAATACCATTCACACACCACTCGCGGACTTAGGTGGGTATATATGTCGCAAGTGCAGATATAAAATTTTGAATTTTGAATTTTAGTTTTTTTTTTTTTTTAGCCATATAGGTCTTTATATGTCTTTTAGTTCAATATTTATATTAAGAGTAAATATCATTTTAAGTTCCTAACAAAAAATATAGTTCTTACTTTAATCCCTTACCAAAAATTAGTCTCGAGGAGGTTCCTAAGAAATTTAAAATGGATTAATTTAGTTAAAATTGTAGTCCTTCACAAATTCAAAAAAGACCTACATTATTCCCTCAAAAAGACTAAAATGGGTTCACTTTAAATTTCATAGGGACCAGGTAACTATTTTTTCTATAATAGACTAAAGTGAGAACCGGATTTTTTGTTAGGGACCAAAAAAGATATTTATTCTTATATTAATTAGCAACATACAGATATGATTAAAACAACGTAGCAAGACAAATTGAGTAGAGAGAAAACTTATTCTTTCACCCCTGTCACGTATCTATTCCATAATTTCTTCATCATTTGTTATGGAAGCAACTAGATTATGAGCAGATTCAAGCGTTAATTTAAACTTTCTTTACAAAAAAAAATTCGAGGACCCTGTTACTAAATGTGTAAACATAAATTTTTTTTTCTGAATCTGCCACTACAGACACCCTTGTATGGTACAAGCAGCCAAGGTTTGGAAGTGAACTATTTGTGTGTGATATTTGGGTTTGTGTTCCGTAAGGGTTGTAGTATATCAATGTAATAGTAATCTAGTAAGACAAATAAATAGACTTAAACTCAACCGAAAAGTTATCGCCAGTGGATCTTAGATCTAGATAGAGAATCAATAGATAAAGTGTGTTCTAGTAGAGAATAGATGTTCAGAAGGTATTCCTCCGTAGGAATGAAATATATTTACACGTAGAGAAGATTATCAAATGATAAATGAAAAATAGAGTCATAATTGTTTGTCCACTAGGTGTGAGGAAAGCATCTCCACTCGGTGCATGGGTTGAGTTTGCAGGGGAGTGAGTGTAATGAGATAACATCAGTCTCACTTTTAGAATATAACATGACCTTTCTAAGAATATTAAGGGTTTGATCCTTCTAAAGGAGCGCACTTTCACTACTACAGTCGTGCTGAATTGATTTCGAGTTTTGTAATTTACATTATGTGCTACTAGTAGTATAAATTATAAAAGTCACTTTTTTCTCTCTATAGTACAAAGGTAGCTGGTGTGGTGCACTTTTATTGGCCGGTCACACCTACATCAGTTGTATTCTAGTTTTTTTGGCTTCTAAAGAACCTTAGCCTGATCAATATATTCAAACTAACATAAACATTTTTAAAAGTGTTTTCATAATATATTTTTTAGGATTTGATGTTTATCAAGTTGTACTAGATAAAATTATTTTCTAAACACACATAATGGTATGTACGGTCCATAGGGGGTCATGTGAAGAAAGAGAGAAAAAAAAAATGAAATCTATATACTTTCATGTATATAAGAGATAATTTCATCTCCTACAATATGAAAAATATTAAATCTATTTTTTTAAGTTTGTTTGTATTATCTTGTATGGAAATTTCTTTTTATTAAGAACTTTTTATTTATAGCCATATTAAGAACTTATTTAAATATCATTAAAAAATACATATTTTTATTGAAAATCTTTTTAATTCGAAACAAATGCAACTAAATGTCAATATATACTAAATTAAAGTATTTCTATTATTATTATTATTAATATTTAAAGTATATATCTATTTAAATATTAATTTACTTACAAATTAATAAATGGAATTTGTATAAATTTCAAACTCAATTGATATATAAACTAAGGGGAAAATGTTTTATTCCGTGACCAGAGAAACGTTAATCACATAAACTAATTAAAACTTTTAAGTCATTAAGTCGATGTGGAACCAAAATCAAACCAAAGTGGTTATTACGAGTTAATTCTGAAGCACTTTCAGTCTTAATTACAAAAGCATGATAGAACTTAGAAGTGAGTGGAACTCTCTTGGTTTAGCAAATTTTAGTAGAAGACTATTATAATATAAAACACCACATGCTGGGTCGCGTCTATTGAAATTTCCATTGAGCGGAAGGCACTTTTTTCAAAAGCACACGTTCTACAAGTGGTAAATATTTGCACAAAGCGAGGACATAATTTTCATTGACGTTCACAGGTTTCTCTCTTGGATGATGGTACTCTTCCTTTTCCCACCACTAGTGACTAATCCCTACTATCAACTATCGAGCTTTACGGCAGCTGCATTTATTGAATGAACCTTACACTATAATAACTCTTGCATATACAGTGCATTTAGAGTTGGTACTTTTTTTTAATGGGAAAAACTACTTGCAAAGTCACATTTCTTGTCATTATTATTTATTAGTGACTGAAAATCTTAAATAAATAAAATGAGGTTGGTGCAAAATTTCTTAAGCCATCCACCCACTAATATATGTCAATACGATATGAGAGCCCAAATTTCCAATTCTCCTTCTTTCTTTTTTTTCTTTAAGATATATGGGAATCAAACACACCTACACACATCTACACTACACATGCCCCACACCACTAGGCTAACCCTAGTGGTGCCTTTTTATTGATTTTTCAATCCCTAGGTGTATGTGGGCTGTGGCGAGTAATACTTTTCTTTCTCACCCGTTTCTTTTTGGATTATAATTTTTGACTCCACGGAATATATATTTTCACATAAATATAGGAAAATAATTATGTTATATTGCATGAGATAATTATAATAGAGTTCACTGTTTTTTTTCTTTTAAAAAAAATGATAAATTCTACTATTTTATCTCTGTTACATGAGATAATTATCTAAACAACATGAGATAAATAGATCTCATAAATATATTAACTTCTCTAACCCCGGTATAATTATCCTACTTATAATTTTATCAGCTGGTTTTATGCTCGTATTACTCATATTGAATCTATTACATTATATTTCAATTTTGTTGTTAATCGTATCCAGATAAAATGGGCTTATGATTGAAAAAACAAATTTAAGAATAAATTTTTAATATTTTAAGAGAAAAAATAAAATCACTTATTATACTGTTTCTAAATATTCAAGGAGTGTTAGAGAATAATATAAATCATTAAAAAAGTTATCACCAAACATCTTAAGATTTTGGATTGAGATGATTATTTACATTATATTTGACCTTCCTTGACTATAAGGTCACGAATTTGATCATTGTCGCTCCCCACTTTATAGTGGAATTAAAATAAGCATATGATAAATCAAAAATTGAGCTTATGTAATATCCACATTTCAAGTTCAAAAGACTTTTGCGTGAAGAGATATACAAGAGAATAATATAAACCATTAAAAGGTTCTAACCCAACTTTGAAATTTTGGGTTGAAATGATTTTTGAGAAGTATGGATCATGGTTGTGTAACTCAACTATCACCCGTCAGTGCCCGGCCTTATAGTTTTGCAATCGAACTGAATGGTTATCCAACGTTAGTGGGTATGTTCTATTATAATTTTTAGGGCTCTTTTAATGGACAATATGAAAAGAAAGGATTGCTTAAGAGATTATGATAAGAGTTAGACATGCTATGGGCGTTGCAGGGCGTAATAAATTTATATCATATCTCATATGCATTAGATAATTAGCCTAATACGATAATGTTGTTTTATCTAGTGTTTGAAATGAAACAAATAGTACTGAGATATGATATAATGGAAAAGATATTGTAACAACCAATTAGTGTTATTACTGATCAATTTCACCGTTAGATCGATTATGTTGATCTAACAGTTATATTTATTTTTACTTTTGTATAGTTATAATTTCCCATATTTAATACTTTCATATTAAATATAGGGATCATAACCATACAAAGATGAAAATAAATATAATTGTTGGATCAACATAATTGATCTAACAGTGAAATTGATTGGTAGTAATATTGGTAGTAACACTAACTAATTAGTTACAATATCCTATCTCCTCATATAAATGGATAAAAATTTCATTTATAACAGAAGGCACATGTTTTATTTGGAGAAGTTCTTGACAGGATATGATATAAATTGACGGGTAGCAATGGTTAATTCACGTTTTTTAGTGAAGTTCTAAGGAAAATAACTTAGTGTTACATTTGGGGCAATAGGGATGGGATATTTGTTATCCAATCTTAACCCAAACTCTTCCTTAAAACAACTTAAGAACAATGCCATCATCAGTGTACTTGGTAAGTAGAACTTAAAAAGAATTTGATAACATTTCTACATCTGATGCATATGACTTTATCACGTTGCTGAATTTTACTATTCTTTCAATGTAGTTATTACCAAGCTCATATCCTTAAATTTCACTAGCTTCCTCATTTGTGTAAAAAACATATTCCCCAGATTATACATGAGTTCAATCAGCAATCCTGTCAACACATAAATTATTTGGAAAATAAGAGCTTTTATATATATTAATAACCAGAGTCTACATATACGACTAAGTTACTCAACTCGAGCTTCTGTTAGGAAAGTTTGCAGTTAATTATTATTGTAAATACCATATCAGCTCCTAATGACTTACTCTATTCAACTACTCTCCTTTCATCCCCTTCAAGAATTTGTGTACTTGCAGCATGGTAGGCCTGTTTGCAGGATTATCAGAAAGGCATACACAAGCAATCTGCAGCATTTGAAGCATCATCTGCTTTGAATCTGCGTCAAGAACTGTTGGATCAAGAACATCAGCAGCCTGCCCCTTCTTGATCTTCTGACTAACCCATCCAACCAAGTTCCCACCTTCAATCTCTTTAAAATCTGGTCCAGTTGGCTCTTTTCCAGTCACCAGTTCAAGTAAGATGACACCAAAACTATAAACATCTCCTCTTGTTGTGGACCTCCCACTCTGTCCATACTCTGGTGGGATGTAACCAAATGTTCCAGCAATATCGGTGGTGATATGAGTCTCACAGGCACTGATCAGTCTTGCCAGTCCGAAGTCTGCAACTTTCGGTTCAAAATCTTCATTGAGTAAAATGTTACTAGCCTTAACATCCCTGTGAATGATGTGGGGTATGAAACCATGATGAAGGAAAGCTAATCCTCGAGCTGCACCAGTTGCAATTTTGTAACGTTTGTTCCAGTCAAGGATTTCAAGGGCTCCAGTCCTATTTCTCAACCAAAGATCTAAGCTCCCATTTACCATATATTCGTAAACAAGGAGTTTCTCCTCACCAATTGAGCAATATCCCAGCAATGCAACAAGATTTTGATGCTTCACCTTGCCCAAGGTTTCCATTTCAGCCATGAACTCACGATGACCCTGCGTTTTAGCTTCACTAAGCTTCTTCACAGCAACTGTTTTTCCGTTAGGTAAAGTGGCCTTGTACACAGTTCCAAAACCTCCATCTCCAATTATATTTGTCTTGCTGAAGTTGTCAGTAGCTTCAAGGATATCAACCAAAGTTAATTTCATAAGAGGCTGCTCAAACATTGCTATATTGATACTCAAAGGTTCCTTTGATCTGCTACTGCTCAAGAAATAAAGATTTTGATCCAGATAACTGTTGAGTTTACGCTCCTCAAATTCCTCAGGATCATTTTGCTTCCTGCTAATCCATCTATGTAGAACAAAAGCAATGCTTAGAGTTATTAATATGACTGGAATGGCAATTTCAGCAAGCCGCAATACATTACACAATGAATATCTACCAATGCTTTTGACCTGACACTTGATACCCAACATCTGGCCACAAAGATTTATGTTCCCCACAAATCTAACTCTCGATAGGTTCTGGCAAATACCACTTCTGGGTATAGGCCCCTCCAATCTGTTTTGAGACAAGTCTAGGTAATTCAGATTAACTAGGCTGCATAACTTCTCTGGAATCTTTCCAGATAGCTTATTACCTGAAACATCAAAATACTCCAGTTGCATTAGATTCCCAAGGTCTAAAGGAATCTCTCCGGTCAACATATTTCGATGAAGATCCAGATTTGTCAAGGACGAAAGATTCCCCAAAGATCGTGGCAAGTTCCCATTGAAACAATTATCACTTAAATTCATTGTCTCAATCCTCCATGTCATGGAGTTTGAGAAGAGCTCCCCTACTTGGCCAGAAAGCCTGTTCTTCTGCACGTAAAGACCAACTAGGCTTTGCACGCCTGACAGAGAGGGTGGAAGCTCGCCACTGAGCTCGTTACAGCTCAAATCCAAGTGTGTCAACTCCTTCATGTTCCCAAAACTAATTGGAATTGGACCAGACAGCTTATTTCCTGTCAAATTCAGCTTCACCAAATTACTCAAGTTTCCAAAACTTCCAGGGATGGTACCCGAGAGTTGATTCTGTGCCAGATATAAACCCTGGAGTTTGAGGGCATCTCCAAGTTCTGGTGGAATGGAACCTGACAACAAGTTGCCAGACAAATCCAAAGTTGTAAGATTTGTCAAGCGTGAGAGTGATCCTGGAATGCTCCCAGAAAGCATGTTGTTGCTGACTAATAGATCCACAACCACTACACAATTCCCCAATTCATGAGGTATGGTGCCAGACAATCTATTGTGAGAAAGATCAAATACACCAAGGTGTTGAACAAAGCTCAAATCAGGGATGGTACGTTGTCGAAAATATGAAGATTGCTTGGCAGGAATAGACCCAGACAGATTATTGTGAGAAAGAACCAGGCATTGTAATTGGCTTAGGTCCACCAGTTTCTCAGGAATAGACCCATTGAGTTGATTGTTTCCAAGGTCCAATGTAGTAAGGGAAAGGCAGTCACCAAGTTCAGTTGGAATATTCCCTTCAAGCATATTTCCATTCAGATTAATAACTGAAAGACTTGTGAGACTTCCAATTTCCTTAGGTATAGAACCTGTCAGTAGATTATTGCTAAGAACTAGCCTCTCTAGAATAACTGCATTCCCAATCTCCGCAGGAAGAGAACCCTCCAAAAGGTTATTAGCAGCAGAGAATTCCATCATGGTTGATGAATTCCACAGACTGGAAGGTATTTTTCCACTAAAATTGTTGGAGTCTAGGTCCAGCACCATCAAGGGAAGCTCTGAAAGGTACTGTGGTATAGAACCAACAATCTGATTGTTCATCAAAACCAACTCGGTAAGGTTCTTACATTCGACAAATGCTTTCTCAATTGTACCAGAAAGAAAGTTGTCATCAAGATCAATCTCCAAAAGTGAGGCAGCATTACAAAGCTCCTCAGGTATGGGACCCGTCAACAAGTTGCTGCTCAAACTAAGGTGCTCCATGACTGAGCAATTCCCAAGCTCAGGTGGAATTGCCCCAGAAAAGTGGTTGCCAGAAAGCAATAGAGAATCAATACTGGTCCACTTTCCTAGCCAAGAAGGCAAAGGCCCATTGAGCTGATTCTTCTCAGCTGAAAAAGTTATTATGGGGAGCTCAGAAAGCTCCTCGGGCAGTGACCCAGAAAGTGAATTGAAAGAAAGCATCACAGACCTCAGGTTTCTACACTTTCCCAGCTCAGCTGGCACAGACCCATTAAGCTGAGCAAAGACAAGGTTTAAGATTTTCAAATTCAGCAACTTCCCAATGAACTTTGGGATTGAACACCTCAAGGGGTTGTAAGAAAGGTCAAGTTTGGTCAACGACTTGAGCTTTGCCATTTCCTCGGGCAATGGACCTTCAATGAAACAGGAAGGTGAATACAAGACTTCAAGCTTCGAAAGCTCCCCAATTTCCTTAGGCAATGTACCCGACAACTTGTTAATCCCCACGTAAAGGGCAGTGAGGTTCCTCCAGTTCCCGATTCCCGGTGGCAGTGCACCGGAAAACGAGTTGTTCGAGATATCAACAGAAATCAAAGAAAGAGTTCCGGTGAAGAGAGTTTTCGGAAGATAACCTGAGAGAAGGTTGTTGCTGAGGTCCAGGAACTGCAGCCTGGTCAGGTTTCCGATGCTTCCCGGTAATTCTCCGGTGAGGGCATTGCCTGAGAGGTCGAGGGTGCGCAGTTTTGTCAAGAGGCTCAGCTCCGGTGGAATTTTCCCGGCGAACGAGTTGGAACCGAGTCTGAGAGTTTCTAGCTGAACCAACTCAGCGAGTTCGCCGGAGATTTCGCCGGAAAACTGGTTGTCATCGAGGTTGAGGACAGTGAGGGACGAGAGTGAGAAAAGGGACGAAGAGAGTGTGCCTCTGAGGTAGCGAGATGGAAGAGAGAGCGAGGTGACTCGGCCGAGTTGGCAAGTGACGCCAACCCAGTTGCAGTGCGGGGTTGAGGGGTGCCACGAAGCCAAAACGTGAGGGTTTTGGAGACCATTTTTGAAGGAAAGGAGGGAAATTTTTTCTGGGTTTTGTCCACTGTAGTCTGCAATGGCGCACAAGAAATGGAACACGACAAAGTAGGAGAGTACAAGGTTGAAGGGAACAGCCATGGGAGAGTGTAAGAGAGAGAGAGAGAAGAATAAGAAGAGAGGTGTTGTTCTATCTAGAGGAATTTGGAGAAGGTGTTAGTGCATGCAAATGCCACTGAAGAGGCTTAAAGATGGAAGATAATAGAAGGAGGAGGAGCACCAAAGCCATTGCCATGAAGCATTTTGTGTGTGAGAGAGTGAGAAGGTACAGTGTGCTAAAAGAAGAAGTTATGTGTCAGAGAGCAACACACATCTCACGTGATTTCAACCTTCTTAACGGCAAATACACCCTTGCTTTCAAAGAAACGACCATAACTCCATAAGCAGAGTCAAATTAAACCTTCCTCTGCTAATATTTTTATTATAATTTATTTATTCTTTATTTTTTATAAATATTTCAATCGGTTATCGTTTCACAATTAGTCCAATTTTATATGGGTATACAGATAAAACAGTCCAGGAAAAGATTATAGTGCCAACTAAGCTACAGTCTATAATTTTCCTTTTTTTAAGACAATATCAGACTGAGTTTAAAGATTTATTGCTTTTTTAAATCTCATGCAATCATTGTTCATATATTATTATCCTCGTGAGAATGGATCTTAGTCACCAATAACTCCTCGCAAAGTATCAATTTTCAAATGTAACCTCCATTCTTAGATTATAATTTTGAACCTAGTAAACCTATTGGCTAAGCTAATTCAGAAAACACGGATTTTGTCCATCTTTTGTTCATTAAATTGAGGAAGTTTGTCTCTCTTTTCTTCGGTTTGTTATGCTCTTCCACACCCTCCCTCCCTCCCTTTATTTCATGAGTGATTTAGAATAAACTGTAGGATTAGGTAGGCTTGTGGGATTTGCACATTGCACGGCTGTAGTTAGATTCGTCATAGAAAGTCCACAAGGATTGGAGCTTTTCTTTAATAAATTATTGTAAGCTTTCTTTAATCTTCACTGCTTTGGCATCAAAGGGAGAAAAGTGTTGTACACTCTTTTTGTTTGCTTCCACCTCTGCATGGCATGTCACTCAGTTTCCTTTAATTTGTTTTTCTCTTTTTTTATGACTTACTTTAAATTGTTTTTCATAAAGTTGTTTAACTTGCATTATATTATTTATAGATCCTTTTTTTTTTTTTGTATTCGTCGTTGTTAAAAAATAAAATAATTTAGCTTCCATCAACTAAAAAGAATAATGATTTATTATGAGGGATTTAACAGTAAAACAATAAATTACTAGAAACGCAAATGTGCCGATACAATATAAATAATAAGTATCTGTACATTATATAAGTATTTTTAAATTTAAGTAAATATAATAATGTCAAAATTTATTAAAAAAATATATAATTAATTCATATAAAATATTTTAAAAATATACGATAAAAAGAGAAATAATTAATGTTTAAAATTATAAAAAAATATGCATAATTAATTTAAATATTTTCAGTTTATTTTTTTAAAAAAATAAAAGTATTGGGTATCATTTTTTTGAAAAAGTACTAAATTATGAAAAATCATTCTAAAAAAATATATCTTAATTTCATATATACAAGTTTAGATCTTATATTATGATATATAATTTTTCTGGGAATAGCAAGCATTACTCTTCATTGGCCCCACTTTAGGTTATCTAATTTCAACTAATAACTTAAGGTCATTTAATTTCAATTAATGTTTTTACCAAAAAAAAATCAATTAATATATTATAAACGTGGAAGGTCGGAATTTAAAACGGATTAGTTTATCAAGATGTGGTCAACATTCTTTGGGGAAAAAATATAAAATTACTTACCAGTTTACTTTTAAAAAAAATCGCATTTTCATTCCTTTTGCATTTCCCCTCCCCCCCTTTCAAACGAATACTTCAAAATTATGCCATTAATTTATAAATCGATATTTTTTTTATCTTTGTGTTGATTGTGCTTTCATAAGGTTTTCATTTTCCTCATATCGTTTTCCTTATGATTATTTATTTACTGCATTTTGCCTAAAACATACGGACATTAATATTTTACTTGGTCCTGATCAGAGCAATATGTATATATATAATTTACTGATAATTCCTAATTGTTAAACTATTTATAGATTTGAATATATGAAAATTGTTTATCATAAGATTATTTATTACTTTCTTTTTGTGTGTGATATGTATAATATCAGCAAATTAGTCTCATTCTTCTATTGTAAAGGATTCATTTATGTTTAGAAATATGTTTTTTAATTATTCGAATGGAAATACTTTAACATTATGAATCCATATTTTATTATTGAATAACGTTATAGAATATACTTAATAGTTGAAATTTTCTTATAATTTGTATTAAAATGAGTCAGTATTTTTATTATTAATATTTCGACATATCCAATTAGTGTTTCTAAATGTTAACAAATTTTATCCCAATTGTATCATTATTTTGTTTGAGTATATAGTATCAGTTTACTATCATCTACACCATCTTATCTAATAAAGGAAATGTGAGCAACAGTTCAACTACAATTGGAAAGTTTTTAATTTGTTCTACCTACTAAGTGTTGTTATAGATCACATAAATTATGACATGTGAAGATGTAAAATGCATAACGTTAGCGTGTTAGGTGTTGAATTAAAAAAATCAATAAGTATATTTTAAGGGATAATTTTTTCTTATGTTATATTGTATCAATATAACATAATTCCATGGTTTGGGCTGCATTTAAGGCTGCGTTGCAATTGCAAGCGTTTGGGTTTGGGGTAGGGTGGGGGTTGTTTTCGTCATTATGAAATCAATTGACTTTTTGTGTAGGGCAAGTGATTTGAAGGGACCTGGATGAGTGACCTATGACATGAGAGTGATTGGGGCATCAAACCAAATAGTGTTGTGTCAGGCTGAGCTGTCTCTTCCCCGCAAGCATGTCAAGATTGGGAATATTTTGAACCCTGCAAATTTCAATTGCTACCATTTTTTTCTTCCATTCTTGCCCTTTATTTAAGGCTCCTTCCTTCAAGCGCATTTTCCATGCTACGCTGGTATGTATTACTGTCAATCAAACTCAAACACTTGTGTTTAAATAGTATTTTTTTTCTCTTATATATTATTGTATCAATATTGGTGTTTTTTTTTTTTTTTGAGTAAAGACCATTTTTGATCCCTAACAAAAAATATGGTCTCCACTTTAGTCTTTTACAAAAATAAATTAGTTAGTCCCTAATAAATTCAAGGTGAACTCATTTTAGTTCTTTTGAGGAACTAATATAGGTCGTTTTTGAATTTGTGAGGGACCACGATTTCAACTAAATGAGTTCACTTTGAATTTGTTAGGGACTAAATGACTAATTTATTTTTATAAAGGACTAAAGTGGAGACCGTATTTTTATTAGGGACTAAAAAAATTATTTACTCATTTATTTTTAACCAGGAAATGTATGAAAAAATAGATGGGATGAGAGTACTGTAAAAAAAATTTGTTCCTAAAGCTTTTATATTTTATATTTTTTCCATTTTTTTTAAATAAATATAATATGATTTGATTTTTTAGTTAATTTTGATTTATAAATTATTTTGAATTAAAATAAATATAAATTACGACTTACAGAACACCCTTTTTTCCCGTCCTTTCCTCACTCACCATTATCCACTATTGACCCCTAGGCCCTAGCTATCGGTTGACCACGACTCTTACAATTAGACAGTATATTAAGCAATCCTTGCTCTATTATTGGCATTGGCAATGCATACTTTCAACTTATTTTTGAATTTTTAATGTTGTAAATAAATTTTTTATATTAATTTTTTAGATTAATTTTTTACGATTGATCACTCGGGAGTGATGTCAGTAGAAATCTTGGAAAAAGATACACGACACTGGGTGCTAAACGAGTCAGGGACCTTTGGCTCGGCTCGTGAAGGCCTGAGCTTACATGTCTAAAATTGGTTGTTGGCATCAGGCTTGAACTTGTATAAAAGCTCGTTTAATAAAAAAGTCTCAGGCTCCAATTCAAAAGCTCGGTCTTAGAGCCTCTCAGACCGGCCTAGTGTATTTTTTTATTTTATTTTTATATTTTTTATACTACTTGTAATAGTCATCTCTTTCTCCTCAATCCATTTCATCTTATTTTATTGGTTAAACAGAATTTTTGAATGATTTTGTTCTATATTATGTTGTTTGAATATACTTTGAATTTATTATTTATGGAATTACTAGTATTGTTGATTATATATTATGTTTGGATTAATTTTTATTGTCTTATTCTTTTAAAACAGGATAGTCAGGCTTTACTTTTTTGTAAATAACCAGGCCCCAGGCCAATAATTATATTTATAACAGGTAACAGACTTGGTCAGGTTGACACATTTAAACACATGCTTAGTCTTTTAAGAACAAAGCTCGGCTCGGTCCATTAACACCTCTACCCGAGACCATTGGAAGATGTGGTTTGGAAAGTTTTCAAACTTTACAGTAGATCCGATTTGTTCATAATTATTTTATGCTTATGCAGTTAATTTAGTATCAGTATTTCACACTACATTTTGGTAGAGTGTTTGTTTCTCTCTCTTTATACACATTTTGGTGATTGTTAATAGGATTTTGATGTTTGTCATTTTAAAATGACATAAGATATGTTATCTTAAGAGAGAGATATAAAGAATAGAAATAATGGGAAAAAAATGAGTGATTTTTTTTAATTTAAATTTTAAATAAAAAATATTTTCTTGTGTCTATCTCTCTTAAAATGATATATCTTTATGTCATTTAAAATGACAAATACTTTTCCATTGTTAATATATGATAAAATCATTTCTGCAGCCGCTTTACGTACAAAGCAACGACATAGGTATGATTATGATTCCTCACATTTAATGTTTTTATTCTTTGTATGGTTATGATCATGGTAGTTAAAATCTCGATTTAAATTTGCGATTTTACGATTTTTTTTCAATCAAAACCATTTCATCAAAATTCCAAACGCTTTTACGATTTTTTACGATTTTTGTTACGTTAGGATTTTATGATTTACGATTTTTTATCCTCCTTTCGATTTT